ATGATTGGACGGCGAGCAGTGTTGGCAGCAGGGCACCTGGGGCCAGGTACCGTCTCAGACCGAGGACACACAAATTGTTGGTGTTAGCGTCGATGGTGGTCGTGGTGTTAAGGCCCCGGCCCCCCGGGCGGCGGGCTGGTGGAGGCGGCCGAAGCGACGATCGGTTGTCCCAAACAAGGCATCCGCAAGGGCGGGCTAGTCCAGTGGAGATGCACCTCGAAGATTCAAGGCGTCCTGTCAAAGCATGGATGTCTTTCCTTGTTTTGTCTTGCCCTGTCTTTTGGCCAGAAGGGTACTGTCCCTCTTGTTTCAAAGTCTCAAACCCTCCGACGACAGGACACTATATTCGACCCGTGTGAGGCTTTGCTTCGCTGAAAATTTCCGATGAGAAGGACCAGGGCACGTGTTGTGGTTGTGATATCACCTGGACTCGTATCCCCCCGTGCGTCGATTGAGCGCTCTGAGCGCGTCCTTCCACTTTTGATCGGCATCTTATGGTGATCTCAGCGTTGCTCTGGACAAGGTGCTCGCGGGCGGCTAGAACAGTCGACGCAAATTGCCCAGTTGCCCCTGAAGTATGTGGTCAGGGTACGAACAAGAAGAAGTGGAATTGGCTGGCCGCGGCTCTCGATGACGACTTCTTTGGCTACAGTACTGCAGGCCTGTGGGTGTCAAGCCCGTCGCTTTGTGCAGGCCGGTTGCGGGCGGGCAGCTGGTTGCAAGCGGCGCGGCAACGGTACTGCCATGCCGTCCTAACATGGGATGCCGCCATTGTCAGAGTTTTTTTTTCTCTTCACAGTTGCAGTGCAAGAAGGGACTCGAGCGTTGGCATGGTGGATGGATGAATGTACAGTACATACCACATTTCCGCCACTTCAGTGGGACTCGTCGAGTTTCGCAAGTTCCGCTTTCCAGGTTTGGCTCCCAGGTTTGCTCCCAGATTGTGGTTGTCGCGACGTTCCTGACCAGTCGAAATGGTGAAAAGCGACGACACACGTCATTTGAATCCTGGTCCTTCCATGAGGTTTTGCATTGTCTCCACCAAGGAACCCACCGCCTTTATCGCCCTTGTCCGAAGTGGCCCCGCCAGGTGGGTGTGCCACGGACCACGGCCAGAAACTGACACGGCGAAAAGGGGAACTCGTTAACAGCTCCAGCACCCGGCCTCACCAGGATGGTGTTAGCGGCTCCATGAAAGCTGCGAGAAGATCTTGTCGACCATCACCCATCATGAGACCCGACTATGGCTGAGTAGCCAAGAGAGATACCGATGGGCGACATAGCGAGAGATTGTAACGCCCCGAGTATTCATATCTGCTATATCGGTAAATACCGCTGCGCGTTGATGATCATTTCAAAGAGTCCCTTGTTCTTTTTCCAGGGACGCGGGAGTCCCATCTGCTGTTTGTGAGCACTGTAGTGTAGGAGTTTCCGGTTTTCGATCGATCGATGCCGGTCCATAAACGAGTCATGAGGATCGATATGTACTTGTCGACACCTGACCCAGGCTCCAAATGTGAAGAGAACCCCCCAAAAAAGCCATCCAGGATTGTGTGGAAATGCACTTTGGGCATTGCGAATGGCAGCCCAAAATGGGGTCAAATTACCCAACCTGTGGGGGACAAGGGGAAAAGAAGGAGAGAGAGCCTTGCACTTGGTGAAAAAAAACTAGCAGCTTGTCTAAAATTGGCCGGTCTCGTTTCGAGGGTTGCGCCATTGCGGTCCGACTTTGGGATGCCGTGATGAAGCTTGTCACGCCGCGGGCTGAGAGAGGGGAATGCGGCTCTTCACTGGCAGTGGTCGCCTGGTACCTGTACCCCTTTGGTCCTTTCAGCCAATTGCTTCGATCCGATTGTACCTGCAGACATCAAACCACCATCGCGGCGGGAGGGGAGTGGGAGGAACGTTTGGAGGGAGGAAAGAAACCCTCGGACGCCCGGTGATGAACAAGAGCCCCCTTTTCAGGAACAGCCCTGTTATTTTTTGGGGGCAAGGAAAATGCTGGACATTGGTTGTCCGGGCCGCTGCGGCAGCAGTGGGTTCCTGCCGGGCGGCCTGGCTGCCCTAGGTGATGCCGCGCCTACACTAAAGCGGCGGCAGTGAACGTGCCGTTCCTGTATCTTATTTGGCGCACTAACCAACCTCATCACTGTAGTCCTGTCATGCTTCCAGTTGTCTTGGACCAATCTGGGCCTTTCGACTCAAGACGAAACACCACCACCAAAAGCGAGCGACTACACAATCACACACAGTTCAGCAGCACGGACAGTGACAAATCAAGCAATTGCCCGTTCGAGACCGATCCACTCTTACTTCCCAAACGATCCTCGTGTCCGACTTTAGAAACCTGGTTTCGCATGATCCCCGCAGTTCCGCCCACCACGAGGCGGTGCCTGACAGTCTGATACACTGCATACACGTCAGCTCTCGTGGTTATCTGTCTGAGCTGGAGCTCCAGTCCGTGATCAGAGCGACTATTTCCAATTTTCGGATGAAGTCGACAGTGTGATCGGCCTAGGTCGTTGCTTCGTACATACCACCCTCAGACCACCCAAACACGTGCCGTCTCTGTACCACCCCAACTCGTCTTCCACCATTCCACGACTCCCTTTCCACCTACACATTCTACATCGACGGCCGAGAAAAGAAATTCGAGTTATCGTACTCGCCATGTTGATGGCCCCAGCCCCAATGTAATAGTCCTCGACGATACGCGCGTCAGCCGCCCGATACAGAGTCGCTCCAAGCGTAGCGTGGATGGACATTGTCTATTCTCGTTGGGCGTTAACGATTGTGCTTCTCCAAGTCAAGCATGGCGTGTCGGCGTGACTCTGGAGTAGGCACCACATACACGACAGCATAAGTGCGTGGGTGACGTGATGGTGATATCGACCGCCATCCATTCACCGGGGACATTGGGAATGCTCGAGATGGAATACGCAGCCGCTGGTCACCATTCATTCGAAGCCATCTGCGAAAGTCGGAAAATAAGTCCGCCAAAAGATCAGCAATTAGAGGAGCTTCAACATTACGACCGATTCACGCAGGCGCATTTTGCGGAGCCGACAAACCCATGCGCTGTTTCAGATTCGACGCGCTGAAAGACGCCGTATACGCTAGAGAATTATTCAGGCGAGGCGTGCTGTTGCGACGGGCCATAAGCCGTGGTGTTTCTTTTTCTCTAGCTCTCCTGCTCCTGTTTCCGCTTACGTCTTGCCAGGGCCGTCGTGAAGGTTTCGATTTTGTCTTTTGGGCGAGGTGCGTACGAACTTGCGCTCGGCGCCGATCACCTCTCTCTCGCCTTGTTTTGCTGTCGCGACAAAGATCGACCCGGCAATGGCTGAGGCGGCCACTTGCGTAGAGAAGGACCAGGGCGCGAATATGGGAAGAGGGCAGGATCTTCCACTTGACCAAGTGGTTTCATGCCGGGCCAAGATACACAGTTAACTGAAGCTTTTGAAGAGGTGACGACATCTGTGAGACAGACATAAGAAATCCAAGGTTTCTCTGAGCTGTCAGGTAGGCAGCGGACGTTGTCTACATGTTGTAAACCACCACAACACACATAACGTGGGCTTATGAATCCGGAGGGCAGCACACTCGGCACCTGAGTAGCCATACCTTACTGACTGGCCCAGGTACCCCCTCAAACCAGATTAGCATGTGCATATCTGTCAAAGACAAACCCTTCCTTTCGTCTGCATTTTCCTGTACCTTCATACAGCACACATCACACGTTTGCTTACGGTTAGCTAAGTAGCTAGCTGAGCTGAGCGTACAGTACCTTGCGCTGACATCCAATCCGCACAATGCGACCCGCGGTTCCGTCTTCCGCAGTGTGAAAACTACAAGCAGAGTTCCGAGCATCTGGATGTTGGAAACTGTATCTTGGACGTTTCTCAATTGAGGATTATGGGCAAGTACAACGTCAAGGTAGGGTTGTAATGTGGGGTACTTACTAGCGAGCAGCTACCAGTTCCTAAAATAGCCTCCATCAGCACTCGTTATGTAACCCAGTCTCACCAGTCACCTCTTAAATCCGGCGGATAGGTCCTGTAACTCTCGACATTGCTTCTCAGCGCAACGGACTGGATTCTACAAGTTAGTTGGGGCCAGAGGAGGCGGTCACCATGCAGGTATCAGAGAGAAAAAAGCATAACAATTCGGTCACCTGGTTCTCGTGAGGTCAAACAGCTCACTAAGTTTGCTTACTTCGGCATGGAAGTTTGAGGTGATGGTTCTAATTGGATGGCTGGAACTTCGGCGGTTGGTGGTCTGACAACTTCCTAGGTATGTACCGTAGCCCGTGATGGGAGAGAGACATACACGTGATAGTGCGACGATGGAATGTCTTATACCCCCAACCAATTTTCTTTTTTTTACTTTTTTTGCCTTTTGACGCCATCCATAGGCATTTTACCATCCTTCAACCAGCAGGGAAAAAAAAAAAAAAAAAAAAAAAAAAAAAAAAAAAAAAAAAAAAAAAAAAAAGGAAATCAAAGACGCCCAGATTGCCGCGTCAACAAGGGGAGTCAGTCATACACCACACATCAACCAACGAGATCAGAAACCCCAGCAGACACTGACTCCAACAACACCAGTTTTTGCTTCTTACCCAGACGTCAACCAGTCATTCATCATAGTACAAGATAGGTACATTTCAACAGACGCCTCTTCTCACTCTCGCCATTTGACGAGTCTAAGGCCCAATGCGGTATCCCTTGCCCTGTCCTTAGGGGACAGCAAGAACCAGATGAGGGGGCTCTACCTATATCGGCGTCACGAAAGGCGGTCAAGAGCGAGGCAAAGTAAAGTTCCACGCGGACAAGGTGAAGGCCGAGACCGAGATGCAGGATATCACATATACCACCACCAGGCTACTATACTAGTTTGAGACACCTCAGTCCAGCGCAAACTGAACATCAAGGGGTCTTTTCTTGGTGTTTACTCACTCACGTTTGGCGCCATCACCAAAAGCAACAAAAGAAGACAGACATTCTTCATCTGATTGGGTCACACGTTTCCTTTCTCCCTCCCATCTTTCCGGGATCCCAGCTGGATAAGCTATTTGTCGCGGTACAACAAGCTGTAAGTCTATATACACACAGTGGTGATCCCGGGGGAAGATGATGATCGGAAAGGTTGACACCCTCAGCGGGCGCCGCGCTCCACAGACGAAGAAGGGTCCCGCTGATAATGACGGGGTTGGGGGAGGGGGGCCTCAACGCGCTTGTGGTAGCGCTGAGGCGACTGTTCGGCATAGGTACAAACGCAGGTTGTTGCCAACGGTAACGGCGGCATTGTTAAAACCTTCGATGGGCGTGGGGATACGTTGCTTTTGTTGAAGGAGACGATCTTGGGAAGGAGAAACCTTCATGGTACCACGACGACTCGATGAACTTACACCTTGGGCGTGTGGATGAATTGCTTGGCAGCCACGTTGCAAATGTTTACTTCAGGGGTAATGCGCACAACAGGGCCGTACTTTTTATGGAACTCATGGACGTAGAAAGAGCGCTGGCCGCCGGCCTACTCGTAGATAAGGGCCCAGTCGGTGAAGCGGGTGTACCAGGGACCGGGAAGGGCAAGTGAGAACCCTGGTAGATGGTCTGGAAAAGGACGAATGCTGCTGGTAAGTAAACGGGGAACTGTACGTCGTGGTGGACCGGTGCATGTGGATGGATGGAAGAAGCTGTGCGGAAACTGGTGGTGGATTCCCAACGTACCGGAACGAGGAGAATGGCGATCACTGTAAGGCTGAAGAGGGGGACATTAGATGCGGGTGGTTCCAGAGAAGGGAGGCAGATCTTCCAGAAGGGAATTACGGCTGAAAGTCTTTGGTAAAAGTACATGATATCCATGGCTTTAACCTGACTACAAAAGGTGTGAAGCTGGCTCGAGGCTTCAGATCTTTGACAATTTGCCGTTCGAAAGAGATCGTTTATCGCGAAACAACCCCCTCCAACAACAGCAGCAATCCGTAAAAAAAGACTCAATCAGCTACCGAAACTCATCCCTGGAAGACGGATGGCTGGCTCTTTTCGATTCTATGGGGGAAGATTCCCTAGGTAGGCTCCTAGCATGGGCGAGAGAGGTCGATGCGTTGCAAGGGCGGGTCGGCACCATCCGTCCTGTTGACTGTGGAGGCTGAATGTGTTTTAATGGGAGGAGATGGCAGTCCCTGACACACGGCTTGATCGGCCAATCATGGACAGCCGGCTCAGCTTCGGCGTCGATCTCCTCCAAGCCCACAACTACTGCAACAGCCGAGTGCAACGTCGGGGATGAAAGAACGCTTTTGACGTCACATGCGGTCCAATTTTCGGTGTGTGTTTGGGTCTCGAGAGGCAGGGAATAGGGAAGGTATAAACGTCGAGGCTACTCTTCGATATTCGTCCACGAATTCGTTAACAAAACACCCGTTTTCCTTTCGGAAGCCTATCGACGATGGCCGGACACGAAGCTATGAGAGCATGGCCAAGCTGAGGACTCGAACTGCAACCAAGAAGAGCAAGTCAGCAACTGGATCGGATTTTCGACAAATCATCACCATCGACATACTCCACCTTCTCGACGATTGTACCTTGACACTACTCTTGCATGGCTCGAGACCATAAGCCGTTCATGGACGCTCTCAGATTCGCACGCAGAGTCAGTTCCAAGACATCAACCTCGATTGGACCCCTCTTTCAGATTCGAGTCGATTGGCGTTAAAACCTTGTGGCTGTTGGGCTCGACGAGGCACCTGAAAGCCTCGACGTCTAGGAGAAGGGAGAACACAGACCAATTGCCAGGTTAGCTGTCAACATATTCTCGAGCTAGCCCAATTACCTTGCATATCCCGAGCTGTTGGTGAATAAAACTGTTGGTCATCTTGTCGCTCAAAGGAAAGAAATGGACGAATACCGGCACCCAGCTTGCCTGTCCTCCGTCGTTTTCTCCAAAATAACCGATCGAGAGAGCCAGAGCGGAACCTCCAGGTTGTCGGATACTTTTCGTTGAGGAAGGTGCGCAGAACGCTTAGAGGAAACAATTCGACAAAACTCTGCTTGAGTTGGCGGTCAATCAAAACGATACTACTTAGTACCTCGCTTGACAGCAGCCGGCCACTGGCATTCTTCGAGTGTCTCTTGCTGGAATATGCAGCGATCGCTTCCTTCCATCTTTCCGAGATCGAACGGTTTTAGCCAGCGGAAACATACCTCTACCATGGCGTAATTGACGATGGTGGGATTTGCACTTTCCTGTTCAGGGCGAGCTGTTCGTCTGCACCTTCTCTGCCGAAGATAACCCTGCCATTAGAGTGCTCAGTCCAGTCAGAAACCGTAGCGTTGACCACCAATGTCAAACGTGACTTCAAGAAGCGACGTTCTTCCGTTCCCGTCCCCAGAAATGAAGGAAGCGATGGACCTCGACGCGTCCCGCCAGGTGTTCGCGCCACCTTCCATCAAGACCTCGACGGGAGCAATGGACGAGATAGGAGTGTAATCTCGAAGGTGGGTGAAAGATGTCATCGCGCTATCGTGGAGCGCAGCTGCAACGAAATTTGCAGAAAGCCGATCCTCGGCCCCGTTTGCTGACCGGAAGTCGTTGCTCTTATCGCCGTAAGCATTCGGTTCAGTTTCCAAAGTCCTGCCGGGTGGACGTTACGGGACCCAGGGGTGTAACTCCACAACGCGGCACGGCCAAGGGAAGTGCAGTGGCTTCCGAAACCGTATTTATTCCGGGATGGTCCTCCCCATCATTTCCCTTCTTCTCAGATGACGATCCTACCTTTTCTCGCTTCTTTTTTCTCATGGTTTCTTTCACCTTTACTCCCACACTCACCCGCGGTACCATGAGAATTACAACGTTGACCGCACTGTCTATCGCTTCTTCATGCTACCGCCCTAGTGCATCAACTGTCACCAAAATCCTGGGCCCATCGATTCCGACATGCTCTGTTCTTCTTCCTTCACTTTCCACTCAAGCCGTCATGATGCACAGCATTATGTTCTGGGAATTCTCGGGGCCGCCGATGGTGTGCACATGTTCACACCTTGCAGACTTTGCTACACCAACCATCGCAAACGCTGAGGTCGTCATGGCCTCGTCTAAAATTGCCTTCGTGCACCTCATAGCCCTAGCATAGATTAATCCGCCATGTCCGATCGTTGATCGTCTTCTCGCAACGGCCGCCAGGGTGAACCTGGTGGGAACATGCGGAGTGCATTACTCGACATGCGATGCAATTCGGGTCACCCTTGCTTTGTGACATATCAGCTTCTGACTGGATGAAAGAATCATTCGGTTGCTGTAATAGCACCTGCGAACGCTTGACGGACAACAGATTTCACCTACAATTCATTTGTTTACTAGAATCTTTGGCGTGCAATGGAATTGTCGACAAATTGGAAGCGGGCTCACCTAGCCTAAACGGAGAATTTTACACACAACAAGCATGCAGCAGGTCTAGGTATACCGAGACATCCCCAGACACACGGCGTCAGGAATGTAAATAACAGTAGCTGAGGTTACACTACCACAACGAGTGATAAGTATGCAATGTCTTTGGTCAAGAATCTTGCATCAACGGAGGAGCCACCAATGCTTCCGGGCAATCCAACGAGAGACTTCCGCATTTACCAGATTGTCCAACTACAAGGAAAAGAATATGTCGGTGATTGATGGAATTCTACTGACTGCACTGGTAGCCTTGTCATTACTTCAGATACCGAGGACACAATCCTTCCCTGCGGATAAAACCCTAACCCTCATAGGAACAAGAGTACCTATCTGCGAAACCGACCCCTTCGCCATGACACTCGCAGATTCTCGGTCGAGGAATGGGATATCCGAGACATCGGTGCCGAGGAAGAAAGAGAGGCTGGTTCACCATACTGTCTGGGTATAGATACGTCAGTTCACCTGCGGTGTATCGCTCAAAGTCACGAGTGTCTCAGTTGAGACCGTTGCACTTGCCCGCTTAACCGGCTCATCTTGTTACACGTGAAGGGAAGCGGAATGTACTACGGAAGGTGCAAGCTCGAAATACTTTTCAAAAGTCTCAAAGTACATCAGGGTACCTAGAGTCGTTGCCATGTCACGGCTCGAGAAGGATCTGCGATGTTCCATGAACAAGGGAATACGGGAATAATATGCCGGAATGGCATGCTTGTTGGAGTTGGGAGACAGGCGTACTACATCATTCACCATTCTCTACGAGACTTGCACATTCTTCCCAAGTAGAAGCTCACGACAACTCTGCCGTGTTATCTTCCCGGTAATCATGTCTCACTTTCTTCTCCGCGAAGCTGCACCTCGGAGATGCCCTATTGCTGACTTGAATCACCTGGAGCCAGAATTGTGTCAAGTACCTGCTAGGCAGCCAACGCATGACACCATCATCTTCGAATCCCATCCAAAGGTAGCCTCTCACTCCATCAACTTCACCAGTTTTGCACCCTGACCAGGTCTTCTCCCCTCCACCACGTGTCAGTTTTCAAGTTCTTCCCTGCCCTAGTTTCAAGTTCGCCCTGAAGTTTTCCCACCTTGTCCGCTAGACAACGATGTCGGTATCCGTCCCGCGGCCCCATGCCGTTATGCCCAACTGCCGACTTCCGTTCCCCGACACCCATCCCTGCCATCATCCACTATTGGGAAGCTACAGGCTAGATAGGACACTGCAATACTAGCTAATTGTGAGAAAAAACTTCGATGATGAATGTGACACAGCATTCCGGCCTCATCAATGGCAACAAACTGGAAACTTCTTAGCCATATCCTCGGTCCGAACCGAGAAGGAAGTTGGAATGCTTGTCAAATTCCAATTCACATGATGCCATCAGCTACTGCTCAGTGTATGCAGTTGCTTCACAGGTTGCCGCTCACAGATTGTTCAGCTAAGTCCCGGTCACGAGCCACGGAAACATTCATTGCGGTGAAGGCGGTGCCTGATGGCGATGATAGCTATCTATGACTTCGCCAGGAAAACTGCGTAATCACCCTGACGTACAACGGCGCAGCAACCCGGCAAAGTAGGCTTTGCACGGAGAACCCAAATCTGCGTGTTCATTATGGTGTCTACAACTTTCTAGGTACAGGAGTCATCAACCATCGACGACTCTCACATGGTAAGCAAACAATGTCCCTTGATATCCAAACTTAAGCCGCCTTTACCTTTTGCGCACATCCTTAACTGATCAACCTGTAAGCCCAGATCACGGGGCGGAACCGCTTGTTTCCTCACCGAAGTGAGAAACCAACACCTACCCTGCAGCCAGCACACTTGTACAACCCGAAATCAAGTCTCTCTTTACCGAGCTTTGCTTAGGCAGAGTCTGACACTCAACCTCATGTATGTCTCGAACTTCAACCCGGATCAGCACTATCTAGTCGCTAGGGACACCCCATAAATGTCAATAGTTCTCGCAAGGCTGCCACGTTTCTTGGTGAACTGTTCAATTTTGATCCCACCATAACCCACTTCAAGCTGTTTCAGTCATAAGGCATCCGTCTGTGTGTTTTGCCACTGCCATGACATTCAGATACGACCGAGACCGACCGACTGCAGCAAACCAGCAGAGAGATATCGGGACCGTGCCGTGTCGGCTCCATGATTCAGATATGCGTGCGTATATGAACTCCGATTGCGCTGCTAGAGAACATACCCGGCGCTTCTGGAGTCTCCGCTGGTTGAACGAACGGTTGGTTGCCTTACAGCTTGGAGGTATCATCCGATCTAGGTATACTATCGTCAGTTACTAGTCTAGGTAGCTAGTGCAAGGCCAACCAAGTCATTGTTTCAGAAAGCTCAAATAGCATTAGGGAAAGTAGACAAACAACCAATGACCGCAAGAAAGCAGGCAGCATCCGAACATGAACCAAGAAAAGTCGGATCTTATTCGCCAAACATACCACATATCTGTAAGAGAGGTACTTGGTAGGTAAGCAGGTATATAGACTGCATGTCTCAAATGAAAATGGTATTTATCCCGTTTCAACGCAGAAAGAACGTTTGTTTGCTCTTTTCTGTGTGCTGCTGCACACACTCAACCAATAATCTTTCCCGATATCAATCACAAGCCCCCCCCCCCCCCCCCCCCCTTAGGTTAGTTTTTCTGCGACCTCACCAGACCGGCATCTACACTACCTAGGCAGGTAGATTAGATTAGGGCTTTTCGCCGACCCCGATCTACTCCCGGTGAAGAAATCTTGTTCCGCAGAAAAAAACTCCGATACTCGCACCCACACTTGCAGTGATCAGTGGTGGTGTTGTTGTTGTTGTTTGCCTGTCGTGACCAGTTACGCCATACCCTAAGGCCGACTCGACACTCAAAACAGATATCGATGAACCAAACTGGCGGTCAACCTTTCGTTTGAAAGCGAATCATTTTGTATTCCTTGTATATAGGTAGGTTGAATGGTACCTCTAGGTAAGGTAGGTAGGTAGGTAGGTAGGTAGGTAACATTGTGCATAGCAAATCACATGTGTAAGTTGCCTTGTTTGGATTCCTGTTGGGACTTTGGACCGCCGCCCTGAGACGAGACGGGGTGCAACGGGCAACACTGGATCGGGCGGAGGCATGAGGCTCTGCTAGGTGGCGTAACAGTCAGTTACTCCAATCTTTAGAGGTAGGTAGGGAGGTAAGTCGGGACTGGTATATAGGTAGATACTTGACGTGGCTTGGCTCACGAAACGAAGCTAATGAGAGTCGCAATTTTCTCTTAAATCGTGTAGATGACTTGATTGTGACTGGAAAGTGAACGGGGGACATTCATTCATTCCTTCATTCACCCAAGGCCTGAAGAATTATGTTAACCGGAAAATACTGGTAAATGGGGTTTGGGCTGTTGACGAAGTGATAATTCTAAAGGTTATCTAATTCTTGGCAACTACCGTGACTGATGCTTGAGATTCTCAACTGAAAGTGTTGCACAGGTAAAGTTGTATTAATTTTATACCAAACTACAATTGACCATTACAGTGTAGGTAGATACAAGATAGACATGATGTAAAAAAGTAATTAACATTTTATATCATTATCTGGAGATTAGAATCAGGAGATTAAAATCATGAAGATGATCAAGTCCAAGTAAGTTAGACTTGCTGTTTGTGCCTCCCAACCGGTATGCCCATACCATGCATGCTATATATTTGATCCAAAACGCCGTTGACCGTAAAATTTGTTTGAAAAAAAAAAGAGCCACCGTTGATGCTTCCCATATTCCCAAAATTTTGCACCGCGGTATTCCCCCTGTAGGTGTATATGCTGTCATGATGTTTCCATCTGCCAATCTGGGCGACAGCTATGTAGGTAAAAGGAAAGAAATAGGTCAAGGAAACAACGCTAAAAGTTCCAAAAAAAGGGGGGAAGAAACTCTAAAGAGCTTCTGAAGAAAAAAAAAAAAATAGCGAGGATAACAGAGACAACATCTCATCACAAGGTACTAAAGCCTCGAAGAATCTCCCCACATACTCAACACCGGGTCCATGAAAAACCCATCAAACTTCTCCATCGCCACGTTCCTCTCGCCTTTCTCCCTCCAAATCAAGCCATGCTTGTCATGCACCGTAATCGGCGGCTCCGCCGTGACGATGCTCAAGTCGGCCTTTTTGGAGTCAGAGACGATAGGCATGGCATCATCAAACAGCTGCCTCAACCTCCTCCTGTGCTCCGAAGGAACGTTGGCCCGTACTGCCTCCCTGTACACCCAATCGCCCAGTGTCTCTACGTTGGGGCGTTCCTTGGGCCGGAGCGAGTCACCCTTTGCACAGGCCACCTGGGCAAAGCACACGGCAAGGATGATCCAGGCGATGGCTTCACCGGGGGTCGTGGAGCCGGGAGGCTGGCGGAACTCGATTGTGCCTCGAGACTTGTTGTGCACGAGGTTGAGAAAGTTCCATCGGTAGCCGGAATGAGGAAAGTCGGACCGCTGGCCGAGGGCCCGGCCCGTGGATGAGTTGGGGTCGCAGCGGACCATGTGGGCCGCGATATATTTCCGTTTGCTGAGGGAGTCCAGGTGTGAGAAGCACTCGGCTGTGGTCAGGTTGGCCATTTGCTTGTTGTACCGGTTGCTCTTGGCGAAGACAGAGGTGCGGCGGTAGAGAGGCATGACAGCGTCGAGGCAGGACTCGAAGTAGAGAATGGACTTGGAAAGGGCGCGGATATCGGAGCGTGTCCACTCTGGGCGGTCCTGGTCTAGGGGAGCGAGGTGGATAGAAGTGCTGCATTCGTGTGTAGAAGTGGTCTCAAAGTCTCGGTTGAGGACTTGCATGAAACTCTCGAAATGTTGGATCCAGGTGTCGAAGGAGGAGAAGCGGAAGAGAGGAGAGACAAACTTCATGGCGTGTTTGTACTCGGTAGGCTTGGACTGGATAGAGTGGTCGCTGGTGATAGTCCAAACTTTGTAGGAAGGCGTGTGAGTGTGTGTGGGGTGGTCGTATGGGTAATCCGAAAGAATTTGAGACTTGATGCCTCCATTGGTAAGGGAGTAGAGAATCTCGTCCTCAAGAGACTCTGAGCTTCGATGATCAGCCCGACGGCTTCGGATCTGAAGGGTCAGTTCTGCGCAGAAACGGAACTGCTTTGGCTCAGGCTCTTCGAGGTAAACCATGCTGTGACGGCGGTGGTCACGGTCACGGTGACGGTGACGGCTCCTGGCCGACCCGTCTGAACTAACGGAGGGAGTGGTGGCATGAGGCATGGCTGCTTAGATGTTTTCAGGTTGTTCTAGATGTTCTCAAGAAAATAGCTAGAGTGACTGAAGAAGCGAGTGAATGTGAAGCTTGATGACTTGAACAGCTTTGAAATCAACAACACGAACATTGGGATCTGTCGAGGAATCTTATACCTACATCTTGAAGGATGAGAGAGTGGCCCTTGGTCAGTCTCGATCGGCCAGGGCCACCAAGGGGCCCAGGATGCGCGAAAGCGCGGCGTTCTAGCAGGGGGGTGTTACGGCTCGTCCTCGGAACGGTCATGTTCTTTTTGGTCGAAGGTTGCATTGCACAAGGAGCTCAAACTTCGTGAACGATGAGTGGTACGGTGGGGAGGCAGGTATCTACCAATTCGGTACAAGAAGAACTGAGCTAGGTCTAAGGCGGTAAGGAGGGACGATGGTCGTTTCTGTATGACCATGTCACCATTCGAAGTGTCGAACATGGGTGAGAGTGGGCCGTCGGTATAGCCCACCACCCAGTTGTAGTTGGAGCTTTGGTGTCTGTACATGCGAGTGTCATGCGTAGCAGCATCGAACTATTCTTCCATTGCACACACCTACGCACACCGTCAGTTTAGAGTGGACAAGCATACAGACAGCCTGCAGATGCAAGACGCAGGCAGAACGAAGTGCCGTCCTGTAGACGATCACTCATCGGATGGCCCCGAAGTAAGCTGCTGCTGCTGTGCCCAATGATGTTCCACAGGACACGCCTGAAGCATAGCCGGATGTGTAATTACTGCCTTGTTTGAGAGGAAGGGTACCAACTCACAACCTACATCGGGAAACTGCTGTACGGTAGAGTGTCCCTGTGGATCGCCAAAACAAGACAATTAAACAAGGCTGCCAGTGGGGATCACGCACCCGATCGAACCTATCTCTAGGAATGGCAGTGGTTAACAGGCGGCCTTTGGCCCTTTGGGTGGCTGCATGAGCTCCGCCACCAAAAATATATCATCCATGACCATCAGAGAGTGCTGTGTTGTCGACTTGGCCGTGTTACAATGGGCCTAGGGCCATAATGCTGCAGTCGTCAGGAAGTGGATTTTCCAACATTTGGACTCCTGACGAGACCGGCCAGACTCTTGAACCCCCATTATTTTCTTCTGCTCTTGACCAGTAGGAGCTTTCTTTGAATAGCAATGGTAGCATCGAAGCGGCTACCGGGTTCATTCCAGCCACAGCGGCCCCAGGTAGTATCGGTCGCTGTCGTGATTGGTTCCCTCAGGTGTCGACCAGGCCGGAACAGGGCCTCAAACTGTTACAGACTGCAGCAATGGACGCATGGATTGGTTGTCAACGTCCCATTCGAGCGTCCCTCAAGGGACCCAGGGAACTGGTTCACAAACCCCTGGCGCTCAAAATCATCTCAAACTCTCCTAAAAGCGCGAGCGCGGATCGGGATGTCGACATCAACGGTAATGGCACTGCCACCTCCGCGCTGTAGAGGATCTTGTTTGGAAGCTTTTGTATCAATAGCCGCGCGGATAGCACAATGGCAATGCCAAGAGTGATGGGGAGGGAAAGGTGAGTTGGAGTTGAAAATAGGCCAGAAGCCTAACGCTGCGCGGCATAAAAGAAAAATATCCGGCTTTGATCTGTGTTCCTAGCTCGGGCGGAAAGCGCCGACTAGTAGTGTGGATATGTGGCCGCCCACCGAAGCTCTTCAGGGAAGGATGATAAGTTCAAACGTCGTCCTGCGCCGATTTAGGCAATGTCTGTGTTCCGTTGCCAGCCAAAGCATGTATGTAAGATGATGTCGTGAACTTGTGAAACCGCATATCCCATTTGGACATGAGAATCTCCAGATCCAGGATGATGCCGCCTTAGGGGTCTCTTCCTGTTCATTTATGCAGTCGAGCCTTACTTATCAACCTCGTCTTGGTGCTACACCGGGCATATGTTGCGGCACTGGGGCGACCTGTCGTGTTCTCGTGAAAGGTTCTTCGCCTGCTTCAAGCTTCTGGGTCTTGTTCTTGTTCTTTTGAACCTTGTCATGCTTGCAAGTGTGCGTCCACACCAAACGAATACCCGAGCAACCCAGTCCATTCATATATGAACCAGACTAATCCCGTTTCAGATCTCGGTGTTGAGTTTATCCTCGGTCCCTTGTTCTGGATCGCCTCCGTTTGGGGCGTCTGGATGCCTGCTGGATCGAGGTTGACTCACGAAAGCGAGCTGCCGAAACTGACACTGCCAGCTTGGGCTTTGCGCGCCGTTGCTCAATCGCGCCTCGGTTGGTTTGTTTGATGGCGGGAGTGTTGTCTCGTGTGTTGTGCTTCGTAGCGAAGGTCTCGGTAAAATTGTCCGAAAGTCTGATGTAAAGATTGTTCAGGTTCAGATCCTTGTCTCGTGATCTGCATGGCAGTGCAACTAGCCCTAGAGAATGAGTTGCATTCGATTGTCTTTCACCCTCCGAGGTTGGGTGGTGACGCATTAATCATTGTCGCTCTCTCGTATCTTGGGAAATTGTAAGTTGTCTGCTATTGCTTGATCAGCCACTCCATCACCTGTCGTCCAGTTTGAATCGGTCTTTCGGTCCGAACAGGGAAGTTGACTGTCGATGAAGTCAAGTACCTCCTTAGCCGTTGGGGTTTAGTGTTTTCCACAGCAATATGGAAATCGAATGATGTCCTCCCCGGGTGAGATCCGATGATTACAGCATGGAAGAGCTGTCAAATGGGAATGATTATTCAACTTTAGAATCTTCAGCAACGTGTGTGTTCTTGAACCCCTGCATTGCGTTGAGTCAGGTAGAGTGCGCATGGTCGGTCGATGGATCGCGATTCGGTGGAATGGACTCTGCCGAGTTAAAACTTTGTCATTAGCTTCGGACCATGTAATGGCAAGGACTTGTGTACATGATATCGGACAACCACTTACAGTAGAATTAATTCATGCTCTGAAGATCAATGTCCAGTTGACTGACTGGTCCTAGACTTGTGCGATGAATGATGCGCGATACTGTTGTCCTTGATGGGCTGCTCAGGATGACGGTTCACTTGCTCCCGCCGAATTCCAAAGGATGATCAATATTTTCCTCCTGTCGAAAATGGTGAAGCGGGCAAGGAAAGAAAGAGAACACGAAGAGAAAATTCGCCCCGTGTTGGGTGAATTTGGAAACCTCGCCTCCCCGAGTGTGTACCTGCCGAATATACTTTAGACAACATACTCAAGATTGGAAAGAACTCTGAACGAAATTCACTGTAATAACCTTGGCAGTATTCTGAGTATCGCCTATGCATCAGTATAGCTGTAGCCACCTCTAGGTAGAACCTCAAAATAACCTTCTCTCACCCGTTTACGCCAGCCTATGGTATCTCACCTACTGGTGAAACCCTCTTTGCAACCCAAACAATCCATGAAACAGCAAAATTACTTTGAAACAAAGCAACATCAAGAAGAGAAAGAAGCGCCATGAAGGTCCCGGAGATGAATCCTCACCGTGACCAAGAAATCAACCTACTCTCTCTTGGCAACAGTATCAAAGCACTCCTTGATACTCGTAGCACTCCTCCTCAACGCCTCCTTCTCCTTCTCATTCAACAACAGCTCCACATCCTGATGCGCTCCCTTACTGTTCAGCTTGCACGGCATGCTAAGCGCCACACCCTCCACGCCGGCATAGTCACCCACTCTTGACACGGTAACCAGCTGATCGGCATTGGTAATGATAGGCTCCAAGATGCTCACCAGTACGCTTGCCACACCGTAGTTCGTCTTTCCCTTCCTCTGGATAATCTCATAAGCCGCCTCGCGCGTGCGCTTGCTCAGCGCATCCATAGCCTCCTCATCGTACACGATGCCCTTCTGCTTGCAGTAGTCCTCCAGGCGCATGCCGGCGATGCTGGCGAGCGACCACACGGGCAGCTGGCTGTCGCCGTGCTCGCCGACAATGACGGCGTGCACATTGCGCGGGTTGACGCCGTAGTGCTTGCCGAGCTCGTGGCGGAAGCGGGTGGTGTCCATGGCGGTGCCTGAGCCGATGACGCGCTGGACGGGGAATCCGCTGAGCTCGTACGCGGCCTTGGTCAGCACGTCGCAGGGGTTGGTGGCCACGATCAGGATCGTGTTGGGCGCGTGCTTGGCGATCTGCGGTACGATTTGCTCAAACAGACCGTAGTTGGTCTTGACCAGATCCATGCGCGTCTGTCCGGGCTTCTGGTTGACGCCGGCGGTGATGATGACGGCCGTGGCACCAGCGCAGTCTTCGTACTCGCCCACGCTGACCTTGGCGTGCGCGAAGTGGGCGGCGTGTGAAAGGTCCATAACCTCGCCGAGGGCGCGGTTCTTATCGATATCGATGAGGACGATCTCGGCGGCGAGATGGCTGAGGAGGAGGGCGTAGGCGGTGGTGACACCAACGGAGCCGGCACCTACGATGGCGACCTTGATGGACTGAAGGTTTTTGTCAATGGAAACCCTTGATCATGATGACCAGGGTTTAGATGCAACTCACCTTGGCATGGCTCTCGATTTCCGTGCTTGGTACCGACATTTTTGCTGTTATGTTGTCTGTGGAGAGTGTCGATAATCTGTTGATATCTGGGGTTCGACTTGAAAGAGCACTTGAGATGTGACCCGGAAGGAGATGGTCTATTTGTAGCAGGAAGCAGGGGGATGTTTTTTTTGGGTATGATGAGAACCTTGATGCCTTGTTGTCGAGATCCTCAAAGCTATCTTATGTGAGATCCAGATTTAGGCATCGCCCGCCTAGTTGGAATGGAGCCCGATTGGGTACCTTTGCCAACATTGGATGACACCTTATCTCGATCGCGATGCAAATTTGAGTGGTTGACAAAGGGTGAAGCTCCCGTCAGATCGGCCTGTTGCAGGACTTGCGCAGCTTGTCTAGTCGTGATTGGGAAACAAACAGACAGTCTAGAACTAGATGGCCGTCTAGCGGAGAAGTCGTCTGGTCTCGTATTGGTCTGGACAGCGACAAACGCCGTGCCTCACTGGTGGACCGATAGCCAAGACAGAAACTCCATCTCGATCCCTTATCCGCGCCTCTAGCTGCCGTTCCTTAGGGCTGCTGTGCTGAGCTGTGGCGGCTTGGTCACCGGCACCTATTTGGAATCCAAGACTCGCCGTCGCTGTCCAAATTCCACCTGCTCGAACCATTTTGATGGCACCAGGCCCTCGTGCAACATATCATTCGATGCGAAATTGTTCCATGTTGCCCGGAGGTTGACGAGTATTGTGCGAGTGAGTCACTGTTTGAGCGTTTTAGTGCGAGTTATGCGCCGAAAGATGAGGATCTGAGTTTGTGGAGATACATTCATCTGATTCGTTGTCACCATGCACGGGGAATGACAGATCAACAAACCAATAGGTCTCGAAAACATCAAGGACGACGTGTTTGTAAATGCAATTGAAGGGTATCACGACAACAGCAGCAGCAACAAAACAACAAGACCAATCATGCAATCCAAAACCAGATCTTCTCCAACCAGTTTCTCGGAACCGGGTCCACGTCATTCGCGCACATATCGTCCATCTCCTTCTTGCCTGTCAATACATCGATCTCACCGGCGGGCTTGTGGAACGGCGTCCTGTGCCAGATCTTATGGCCGAAGTATAGAACAAGGAAAGCAGGCAAGGTAATGTACGCCGCAAGGAAATCCTTGTAATTCCACTTGACAAACACCTGGAATCCGTTTGTGAGTGTCAAGATGCTGATCATGACCAGGGCAAACCATGCCGCATATGGCTGACCCGGAGTTTTGAAGGGCAGTGTCGCCAACAGTCCCTGGACCTTGAGCGCCTGACGGAATCGCAGGTAAGTGATGAGCAGAACGATCCAGCCAATGTACCCGGAGATGGTGGAAAGGTTGGAGAACCAGGTAAACACCTGAGCGCCGTTGTTGGATACGTTCAGGTACGCAAGCAGAGAAAATGCCCAGGTCATCAAGACGGCGGTATATGGGACACCACGCCTGGTAGTTCTCGTGAAAATAGCGGGTGCTTGGCCGTTTTGGGCCAGAGAATACAGGATACGGGATCCTGAGTACAAAAACGCGTTACCGGCGGACCAAGCAGAGGTCAAGATGGCAGCGTTGATAACATGGTTCAGGCCGCCGATACCGGCGAGCTGAATACCTATAACCCAAGGACTGGCGCTGGCGTCCGAGGTGCCGGAAAGCAGGTTCTTGTTATCCGAGGGAACAATGCAGCCTACGATCAAGGAGCTGATACCATAAAAGACAGCCAGACGACCCAAGAAACGGCGGGCGGCCTTGGGAATGTTGCGTCTCGGTGCGACAGTCTCACCAGCTGCGAGACCGATGAGTTCGGGGGAGGTGATGAAGCTGAATCCGGCGCGGATGAATGCCGTCCAATACGCAGCAAACCTGCCAGTGGCACCAGGTGCGAGGTACTCCTTGAACGCTCCCGGATCGTTCCAATAGTGGAACCCCAACCGCTGGTGGTTTGGCCCGCCTCCCAGCATGATGACGAGGCCAACAATGATGAGCCCCATGATGGTGATGAACTTGATGCTGGCAAACCAGAACTCGGCCTCGCCAAAGACCTCGACCGCGATGATATTCAAGACCAGGTTGACAACCAGGATGATGGTGATCCAGGCCCAGGTGGGAACTGGTGTGTCCCAGTAGTTGAGGAGGATGGCGCCTGCGGACGCTTCGGCGGCGACAAGGATGGCGTACGCATACCTAGGACCCATGGCGTCAGTTGGACTGAGCATTTGGTTCCCTTGCTCCCAAAAGAAACTCACCAATAATTCCAGCCAGCGGCAAACCCTAGGCTGGCATCGACGAAACGCTCGGTGAAGTAGGGCAGTGTGATTCCTCTAAGAGGAAGGTATGTGCACATTTCGCCGATACAGTTCATGACGATCCAGACAAGAAGCATCATGGATAGGTAGGCCAGCCATAGCGGCGCTGGGCCGACGGTGGCCAAGATACCACCCGAACCGACGAAGAGACCCGTTCCGATACTGTGAAGAGCACCATTAGCGGATAAGTCTAGGGAAACATGTCAGGGAAGGAATTGCAACGTACGCTCCTCCCAAAGCCAGAAATTGAATGTGCCGACTCTTGAGACCCCTTTGCAATTGATGGTTGGCGTCCAGAGAAATTGTACCGTCAATCACCTGGCCTTGGTTGTGAGAGGAAGCCACATCCAGGGCCTCGCCGCCGCCCTGCTTCTCGGCGAAGTTTCCATCGCCGTACTTGGACATGGCAACGCACAGGAGCTGGATTTCGAGATTAGCCAAATGCTGACGGGATCGCGTTGGTGATGGTTGTCTTTGGTGTAGCAATCAGACGAGGCCCGCGGTGCAGAGGACCAACGACACCCAGGAGAGTAGAGGAAGGGGGACAAAGTCTTTGATGCGGACTTGTGTGTCGAGGTCAGCGGCGTTCTTATGGTAGTATTTTGGAGATAAGATCAGCAGGGTTTCTTTGCAGAACATGCCCCAATCCGTGGCAGCCATGCCGCTAGTGTAGGAATGTCACACTCGATCAGGGGCACCGAGTGGCCGGCGATAAGCGCATGTGTCCATGAGCTGGGATATTTTGGACGTCTATCAGCCAAGAAGCCATATGAGTCAAGCCCGGTTCAGTTGTTGGTGTTGAAGTCGGATCCATTGAAGATAGCAGTGGGCGGATCAAATCCGTAGTGAGAGAATAGAGCCGCGATTACCCCGGATTTTGGGGTCCAGAAGTGGCATCCGTATCGCCGACGAGAGGTAGTATTGGTTTACCTAAGAGTAAACAAAGTCTGGAACTTGAAGACAAGCGAGCCGACAGCAAAAAGAAGATCTTTGCCCTGTTTGAACCAAAACCTTCCTGGCCGGTTTCAAGCTCTCGGTGAAGGAAAGAGGTTGGCGTGGCTGGAAGAAAAAAAAAAAAAAAAGCAGAAGAACAGGTGCAGCGCCGTTGGGATAAGGCCGGACACACCTTCCCTTTCCAGTTACCATCTCCAGATGCTTGGCGGGGAAGCGGTGGGGTTTTCTGCTTCAGCGGGGATGGTCCTGGCGTACCGGGAGATAGCGCCCTGTGGAGTCCAGTCTTGGGGAACTTGGGGCCCGGGCTGTAGTGCACACTAGGGTCTGGGCTTGGGGACACCCCCCACGCTTCCATTCCACTTGTTCAGTTCCTGTTCCATCATCCCGTCCTTCGTTGTGCGGTTCCCTTCCCGTCGTTTCTGATTTCCATCTTTGTCGGAACTTGGAATGGTCGGGCAGTTGAAAGAACTCTCCAATGTCAACACCATATAAATTCAGTGACAGCGGAATACTACGGGATCAAATGAGCCAAGAAGGCTTCAAGTTCATGCCTAGATGACCTGCGAGAGGCCATTCCTGACTTCGGTTCCTGGCTTTCTTGCAAGGAGGTGGCATGATACCCCAACTGTTCCCGCCGCCCCGCACAAAGTTCCATTCATCCCGTTCAAAGTCGGGGTAGAAGCGACCACTCGGGCGACGCTGTGCCGAATGACAGCTGTCGTATGTAAACACTATTAAATCGAGAAATGATGAAGCAACTCGGACGGGCCAATGGATGAAGCCAGTAAAGCTGTTTTGGCTTGGGATGGGTATCGCGATTGAAATGATGAAGATTGAGAAGCTCTACACTCCACCTGTGGTGAGATTTCAGTCTTCACGTCTCTGCGGATTGATAGGGCATTCGTTATTCATAAATAAATATACTCTTGAGGAGCTAGAAGAAGATGAAGATGGAGGTACCACATGTTCTTCGAAGCACCTAGTCCAAGGTTTAAATGGCCGAGTTGACCAAAACGAATGTATTTTTGCTAACGTTTTCGAGGTTACGATGGTCAACTTATAGAAGTCGGAGAACTAAGCATTCATGAAAATGCTGGTTTAAACCACCTCAAAATGTCCACCCGACTCAATGCTTCGAACCGTACAATGTGTGCCGACTTGCCATGACTTTTACTCCGCAATCACGGCCTAAAACCGGACCGGTGATCGCTCCAGAACCACACAAACCCCCGACTGACGACTGCCGCTGGAGCGCTGATGATCTTATCTGATCCGAGTTATCTCCGCATCGAGACCCTTATTTACACTACACGCGTAGCAACCCTACAGGGCTTCGCACTACAACTTCAAGACATCATCTGGTCAGGCCACAATTAAATTTATAATTCCTTAACTCACACCAACCCAGAGGTCATCATTACAAAAACCAACAAAGATGGCCAAAACAACCCTCTTCATCAACGGCCGCATCTTCCTCTCGCCCCTCCGCCCCGGCCAAAACGCCGGCCTCCACACGCCCCCCTCCTTCGCCTCCTGCCTTCTCATCCGCAACGATACTATCCTCCACGTCGGCTCCCCCCAAGATGAACCCATCACCACCGCCCTTCTCTCCTCATCCTCCGCGGGGGAAGAAGTAGTAGAAACCATCGACCTAGCCGGCCACTCCCTCCTCCCCGGTTTCATTGACGGCCACATGCACCTGATGATCATGGGCCAATCCCTCACCAAACTCGACCTGGGTCCCTGCAAGTCTCTTTCCGACATCCGATCCACCATCCGCTCCTACGCCGCCTCCCACCCCGACGTCCCCAGGATCTTGTGTCGCGGGTGGATGCACTCCATGACTCCCGACGGAGTGACAGCCAAAGACCTGGACGGGCTCGACATGGACGGCAAAGACCGACCGATACTGGTGGACACCAAGGATCTACACTCGGCTTGGTGCAACACGGCCGGCATCCGCGACTTGGGCGCCCAAGGATGGAAGGATGTTCCCGGCGGGACGATTGAGCGGGATGCCGACGGCAAAGTGACGGGTGTGTTCAACGAAGCGGCCAACATCACCTATGTATGGCCGTACCTGGCGCGGGTGGCGACGGTGGAGGAGAGGATGGCTGCTATACAGGCCGCGGTGGAAGCGTACCATTCCGTGGGGTACACGGGGGCGATCGATATGGCCATGGACGAAGGGGCGTGGGATGCGTTGCAGGAACTAAGAAGACGGTCGTCGTCTTCGGAGGAGAACGGCGGCAAGGAAGGCATTTCGTTGAGGATTGCGGCGTACTGGTTGGTAAAGCCCGGAAAGAATGACGAGGAAAATGTGAGGCAGGTGGAAAGGGCGATTGAGCTTGCAAGGCAGTTCAACAGCGAGACGACGCCGGATTGCAGGATTGTCGGGGTCAAAATCATTTGTGATGGCATCATCGATGGATGCACGGCTGGCCTGTCGGAGCCCTACGAGCATAATGGGCATAGGGAGGTGCCGCTTTGGACGGCGGAGCAGCTGGAGCCCGTGGTCAAGAGGGCGGATGAGGCGGGATTGCAGGTAGCGTTGCATGCGATTGGGGATGAGACCATCAAGACGGTTTTGGACGTGTTGATTGCGCACGCGAGCCCGGAGAGGAGGCCGCGCGTGGAGCACTTGGAGCTGTCGAGCGAGCGGGACGCCGAGAGGCTGGGCAAGGCGGGCATCACGGCGTCGATTCAGCCGGTGCATGCGGACCCGGCGATCCTGAGGGCTTGGCCCAAGTTGTTGGGAGCGCACAGGTGTGGAAGGGCTTTTGCGTATCGCGAATTTGCGGATCATGGGGCGCCGTTGGCGTTGGGAAGCGATGCGCCCACGGCACCGCATGCTCCGCTGCCTAATGTGTACGTTGGAGCGACGAGGAGATCGTATCGGGAGCCCGACTACCAGACCACGGTCAACCCGCACTTTGCTCTAGGCGTGTGCGAGGCGGTCGCTGCGGCGTCCCAGGGCGTGGCGTATAGCTGCCGTGATGAGAACAGGATAGGAAGACTGGAGAAGGGGATGAAGGCCGACTTCACCATTGTGGACATGGATTGGGAGAAGGAGAAGCTGAAGGAGGCAAAGGTTTTGGAGACATGGTTCGATGGCAGGAAGGTCTGGTCGGCAAAGAACTGATTAAGGACGATTTGCGGATATCGCCCTGAAATTTTGGATACTAGGAAAATAGCAAAACTCAACAAGCCGTGTCCTCTATTCATAAAGCCAGTATCGCCTAGGCCAAATGTTCATCGCGGTCTTGAGCCCATCCCCCAGTGGAAGTCCGGCATGGTTTGTCCGTTCATCACCAGTCCCGTTGGCATGAAGGTTAACCCAAAAGATGGCATTGCCAGCAACCGGTCTAAACGCCAACCCTCCATCCTCATGCTCCCGCCAAAGAGGCTTCAAATTGGTCACGTTCTTCAGCTTTTGGTCCTCCATTCCGCCACGCCACATGGGTTCGTTCCACGGACTCGGCGATATGATTGGATTCGCATGAGGAAAGTGTGTCTCGCCTTTGGTGCAGTTGTCCTGGAGTATAGCAAAGAAACTGGCAACACGATTCCACACCCTGTTGCTGCCGTCGTTGGCTAAGAGCGGCCTGTCAAACCAGTCATGATGGACATTGAACCTCTGACCGGCCCGATACCGAACCAACTGCGGCGGACCCATCTCGTCCCAGCCATCCCTCAACATTGTACCCATAAAGCCTCGTGCCCGGTTCAGCACGCACTTGACGGCGGCATCGTCGCGTGGTAGTCCAGCCGAGCTAGACGTGCGGTCTTGCGTCTGTTGTTGACGGCCATATTTGGTGACCACCGATGGTTTGAAAATGGGTTCGGCTATGGCGAGGAGTGAGGAGATCTCGGAGGATGTTATGAGGTTGTGGATGTAAATAATCAAAGGGTCCAGAGAGACGAGCTCAATCTTGTATGGGTGGGCTACGTCGCAGACGAAGGGCTGTCGGGGTTCTTCTGTACAAGTTGTTGTATTCCGGAAAAGCTTCAGGGGCTTTGCCAGAGGGTGGTCAGGTAGAGGTACTGGAAGGCCGCGGATGATGAAGGTGAGTGATGAGATTTGGGGAAAAGTCTCGGACAGGTATGGTACACTCAAGGCAACCAAGACTGTCCAAGCCACGGCTAAACCGGCAGCTTTCATCAAACTTAAGCCAGACATGCTGCTTATTGCTTTTCGCGTAAAGAACTAGCTTGTCAATCAGGGAGTGAAAGAAGGATGAAGGAGCCAGAAGGATTGATATTTTAAAATCAACTCCGGTCTGTTCGCCGGTGAGGGACACAATAGCTCTTATTCTCTGCGCATAGTCCTGTGTTCCTCCTCCCGTCATGGATGATAGCGGAATTGGATCCAGACCTCACTGGCCCGGAAAACGTTGCCGAGAATCTAAACCCGGGGAGAGATCTTATAAGAGCATCGAGATGGTGGTGACGGGCAACCAAACATGGTTCGATGTGGCTGCTAAGTACCATCGTCGTTGTCACCGCTATCCCCCAAAGTTACACACCTCTTGGCTCATTTTGGACAGAGCGGAAGTTTTGACGCCGAAGTACATGCGGACATGTTTGTTTTGGTAGGCCGACCTTCATTCATCTATGGAGTTTTGGCTCTTTGTTTGGAACCGTGGGTGAATGGAAATGTTACGTCAACGTTCGCGAATGGTGGGATTGACGATCCAGCGAAATCCGGGGCCCGTATATGTAAGTGCCGTCCGTGGAAGACAACCGCTAACTGTTAACGGGGAAAGTAGCCCTACGTGGGTACTTGCCTGGTGGTTGTCTACTAAGCGAGCATATACCGCCGTGAATCAGCTGACCTGGCGCTTTAACGTGCATCGGGCATCCGCTGTGACAGGTCAACAACCAAGGGAGCTATCTGCACGGGGACCTTGATGGCCTTCGCCACTGCATCCTGTTTTCCCTCCTCCCGTCTTTATCATCAACCCGGCAGCGGACACTCTGTCACCGACTCTTTCCATCTCCTCCTACATCTTGGATTGTTTCTTTTGGATAAGGGACAATTGGAAGTATCCCAACACGGCTCTTTCCCTTCTTCGGCAATATCACCATCTCCCCAGATCGCAGCAATGGGCACAGGCAACACGGCAGCCTCGAGCAGAAAGCGGAAGCAAGTCGATGATGAACCAACTGTTTCAGATACCAAACAAGTAGCTACATCCTCAAAGAAGTCCAAGAAGGATGAGTTAGCCCTGGCCACGGACGAAAAGCGACTCCGCAGGTACGTACCGTACACCCACCCAATGCGGATGTTTACCCTCGGTCCACATATTCTCAGCTTGAACTGCTAGCTGACTCCCACCCAGATTCCGTGACAAAGCTCCCCAAGCATTTGCTGTCATCTACGAACGAGCCACAACTCAACGATTCTTTGTCCTCTCGCGTAGACGCATACCCGTATGGGACAGCTTGGAAGGCTTCGAAGAGGAGGTGGAAATTGCAGGTTCGACAGGCAATATCTACACCGTGACAATTGCCCGACAGCCGACATGCACCTGCCCCATGGGTGAGAAGAACGAGCAGTGCAAGCACATCATTTACGTCCTGGCCCGAGTACTGCGTGCCAAGTACGAATATGTCTATCAACTGGCACTGCTAAGCTGCGAGCTCCAAGACATCTTTAGCAATGCCCCTCCGATCGTGGAAGACGGTGATAGTCTCACGACAGGCGAAGGAGACAAGAGGAGGAAGCCGATTGAAGGGGATTGCCCCATCTGTTTTAACGAGATGGAGGTACACAAGCCCGAGCAAATTGTTTGGTGCCGGGCGGCATGCGGCCAGAACGTTCACAAGGAGTGCTTCGAGATGTGGGCGGCTACAAAACGGAAGCAGGCTGGTGGATCCAAGGCCGACGTCACTTGCCCGTACTGCAGGAGTGTCTGGGAAGGCGATGATGACTTGATCAAGATGATCAAGAAGGGGAGGCCAACCTCGGAAGGATACGTGAATGTTGCTGACCAGTTGGGGATTAGCCAAGTGCGAGATACCAGCACGTACTATTATGGGGGGTCACGGTCAGGGTACTATAACTATGGCAATAGGAGCAGACGGTACCGGCATTATTGAGGAAGTGCCAGCTTGGGTTTTGAAACAGGAAGAGGTGTTGGCTGTCTGGCTGGCCGATATGCCGCCCAAACACCCCGCCTGCTTGATTTTGTACCAGTCCGGCTACAGGACACTCGCGAGGACCGGGAGAGCAACGCGAAGTCCGTTCTGCGTTTGACGGGGTTTTTTTTTTTTTTTTTCTATGACCGCCTTCAATGCAAATTATTCCCGCGCTGTAGCAGTATACGACAGTCACGTATTCGACACACAACATAACGCAGCATATGAAAATATCGGCATTCCTCGATTTCATCCAACACTTCACCACAGCATGATATAGGAGAGACCGGTTCTCAAGGTCGCACCATGGTATGGACTCTCACCTACGACTCCTCAGAATATGCTCACACTAACCGGTCCCATTAGTTCTTCCCGATAAAGTCCTTCATTCGCGCAGTCAGGTTAACGATGCGCGCCGCATCGGTTACTTTCTCTTTTGTTATCTCTGCAATAACCAGCGTACTGGATTTCGATTGTCGTGAGGACACTGCCTACCACCAAGCAGTCGATTACGTCCTCCAAGCATTCCTCAATATGGATTTGGACACATTCGAACTCACTCACGTGGACACTGACGCCAACCTTGACGTCGGCCTTGGGTTCTACCTTTTGGTATCCGTCACCGTTGCCGTGTTTGGGGGCATTTTTTTCTTTTTGGCACGGTGGAAGTTTGGAGACCCGGGATATCAAGAAGAACTGCGTGGCTGCCCAAATCTGCCTTCTCTTTTCAGAGGTGTCCACACCAGGTTCTTGAGACGAGGGTTTATTGGTTGAATGAAATGGAAGTCGGCCTGATGGAAGGTTTGTTATTCCTCCACCCGATCTTCAATTCTGGTCTTGACTAAACAGAGGCTGTGATGGGCTAAAAGGCGGACTGGACAGTGTTGTCCCGTGGGGCCGTACATGGCTATCAGCATGCCCCTACGCCAATTCACCATCGTGGAAGAATACCTACGGAGTGAATTGAATAAGATGGCTGGATGTTGGATTAGGCGTTGGGATATGACAGCGAATTGGTGTTTTTCAACGGATGCAGCATTGAGTAACAGATTACATGAAGTATTAGGTACGTAGGGATCAATCATAGTTCTGAAAACCTTCGAGCAACAAGCCGATCTCCTAGCCAATACCAAGATATTATCTAAAATCAATGCTGACTGACTAAAACGCAGCGACATACTACGAGTATTCCAGCCGTTTTCACAAGAAGGACGAATTTACACAACGCCGAAACGACGCCGAGTAAGGTGCCGAAAGACAACGGAGATACCATCACTTGTTTGGCTTCCGCCCTTTTCAGCTTGGAAATGACCGCCTAAGAGTGTTGAGGTACTGTCCGGACAGTTCTCTCTCAGCGTTGTAGGGATCATCGCTGGGGCATAAACCACTTCATTACAAACAGAGAAAAAAATGTACGCGATGGAGCCAAAAGAACATTGACAGAAGTTTTACCTACCTTACTACGGAAGGGCTTTTCAACAATCAAAAAGTCCCTACTATCAGCGGGCCGTCACCAACTAATATTTCTCGAGTTTCTAAAAGAGCGCACGGAGGGTGTTGCCCTAGGCAATTATCGTATAGCTTTCAGTGCACTGACTGACCTCTTAACCGACCGAGAGCTCGTGATTAATCCGTGACACTACCTAGTATGTAGCGTTGAGACTCTAGCTAAATACACTAGTTTAATGCAGGGCAAGTAACCCATTCCTTGTGACGAGGTCAAGGTAAAAAGTAATACTTCTTATATGTCCCAACTTACCTTCGTTGTGTGCCAGCCATGCTGCTTTGATTGGGCTTTTTTCTTCTTCTTCAATCATGGGAGGGTAGAAAATACGTTTATCAAGTCAAGGCTGTGTTTTAGGCGAAATTATTCGAGCCCGTTATCATACGGGAATGATGTAAAGAGCATGAGCGATAATCAGGAGTTGGGTGACATACTACTATATTAGGGTTTACCGGAAGAGAATCGTGATACGGTTAGTTGGCGGAGGATAATGCTGCTACCATCGGTGGTCTAGTCCAGTTGAAAAAGGTCGATGTGCATCGGGGGTTGGAACGAGTCGGTGGCGAAATGGGCAACAAGTTGGACTCACGACGTTGTTGAAAACTGATTCAGGCACGTGGGAGACTGGAAGGGGGAGAGGGTGAAGAGGGGAGGGATTTACAGGTCAAGGCAGTGGAGATATGGTGATGGGAAAAAATCCGTACGATAAAGGCCATGTATTAGTGTACAAAGAGCATGCGCTAGCTATTCACTCTCTCCGTTTGTCTACCTTCAGATCACCAGTGCCCTGTGTCTAAACCATATCCCACGGGTGACCTCCTCTTCCATTCTCCGACCGGAGTTCGTAGCCATCCCGCTGGCGAGTCCCATCATTCCTAATACCATCATCATCAATACCATTCAACCAAGCTCCAATAGTCGAGAACAACCTGGTTGACCTAGCTTTGAAAACGCCGCCACGATGCTTACTACTTGTATTGCACTGCTCATCATCACCATCATCGCGTCGTCCATGTACTGAACCTAAACCAGCACCCCAGACAGCAGCAGGCCATCGTGTAATCCTTGCCCCTCTAGCCTTTCCAGAAGCCTCTCCGGCACCCCGTGTCTCTTCTTCTTCTTCTTGTTTCGATCGTTGCCCCCACTCCCATTCCCACACCTGTTGTTTTCTCTCTGTCGGCACTTCGGGCTGCCACTCTGTTCGCCCCTCTAGCTGTGTCCCCAGTGCCCTCCTACCCGGCGATACAGCAGGTGAAATAGGAATCTCCTTCAACTCTATAACCGCATCCCCATGCCCCCCGTCCATGTGCACAATGGCACTCCCAACCTCCTCCCTCTCCTCGTTTATCCCCTCCAACCTATTCAAAGTCTCTTGGTCCACCAGTCGCAAAGTTGTCCTTGGTCTCGGCGGTAGGCTGTACTTCAACCCGACGGCGCCTGAAGAAGAGCGAGGTGGAGGGTCTAGACCAACGGGCGAGGGAATGTCACGATGGTCGAGCCGGGTGTCGTCGTAGATGGAGGGGCTAGAGTAGACGGAGGAGGTGTAGGAGTCGTTTTGTCTGGGTGTTTGCGTTTGTGTTTGGGTTCGTGCTTGGGTTGTTGGGTGGATGGGGGTGCTTTTCGAGTGGTGGTTGGAGGTGTAGATGTTGGATTTGACCGTCGATACAGAATCAGGATCGGAACCGGAACGGGGATGCTGGATCGGGCTGGACGGAATGTCGGAGCTGGGTAGGAATAAAAACCCGGAGGGGCGTTGTTTTTTCCACTTCCTGTGTGTTTGCTCTTGTGAATTGTACCGGTTGCTGTTGGTGAAAGGTGTTGCCCGGCTGTGACTATCGGGTACGGCGCCGGGGCCGGGGCCGGAAGGGTTCCTTGGTTGAGCGAAGTAAGCATACAGGTCTCGGTAATAAGGAGCATCAGCCAAATCAATGGATGCCGATGATCGGCCTTCCAACTGGTCCAGAGCGTCACTGCGCGTTTGGAGAACGGCAATGGGAATTGGCTTGGGTGGTGGCTTGGTGGTAAGTTCCCGATTGTTTGCAAGTCCTTCTGCTCGGCATTGTTGTTGCTGGTCCTGGCTGGGACTCTGCTGCTCCCCTGATTCTGCTGCTCCTTCCCGACTTGACGATGTCCATGCGCCCCCGCCCCCGCCGCGTCCCTAACTGCGGTTGTAGGTGTTGATCAGGTCGTTCCCTCCTTGGAGCACTGTATTGTCAAGTGAGCGTCCTGAAGTCGCTTCGTGGCCGGAACCGGAACCAAGCGAGCTGTCGACTCTTGGGGCGCAGTCGTACCGGCTTGGGCCCGTACCGAGTCTAGAGGTACTTGTCGTGTCGACCCGATATGGGTTTCCAGATACTGTGTCCGCTTGGTGGTAGGTACCACCGCCGCTCCTGCCATCGTCATGAGCTACGTTCCCGGAATCTAGACTTCGTTTTCTGACGTGCATATTCGGCCGTGGCCGGAACTGCTGCTCGGCTCCAGAAACAACCTCCTCCAATCCCGCCACAGAGATCTCGGACGGACGGCGATGATAGTCACCGTCACCCACTGGACCACTCATTGCCCTTGCGCACCATAGTGCTTTGTTGGACTGCGTCTCCTTAGACGCGATAACCCCGACCGAGGCAGCGCTTAGGACGAAAGACGCGCAGTCAATCAGCATAAGGACCCAGAGAAGATAGATTTTCGTGCATGACACACGACCGTTTGGTTCGCTAGAGAAATTCAGGACCCCCAATGGGCCGGCTCGGAGGACAAAGCCACCCTCTGCTTTGACTCGAGGGCACTTTGTACCGCCATCGTGCATGGGAAGGCCGAGGAGGACCGAGAAAACACCAAACGCAATGATGAAAATTAGGTCGGTGACGATAGTGACTTTGTAGGGAAAGTGGCGACGGGAGTAGCCGGACAGGGAGAAGAGGCACCAGAGGAGTGAAGCAGATGTCTGTAGGTTTCGTTAGCGTCTCAAGGGTTAGAAAAGAAACAAAGGAGTTGAACATACCAGGATCATAAGAGCCACGAAGCTTGTGGCTGGTGACTCACCTGCTTTGGTCATGTTACCAAGCAAGCTGCCAGCTATCCCGGCCATGGTGGAAAGCGCTATAGTCAGTAAAAAACGGGAAAACAGAAAGACATAGCTATAAAAGCATTGGGGAGTAAGGGACTCAAAGTTCCGGATAGGTGTCATGCCAGGGGGAAAGGAGCCCATGTTGATCTCACGGGCTTGAAAATTCCCCCAAAGAAATTTCGTCAGTGAGTGTAGAGAGAATATGGTCCAAAGAGCAATAATTCTTGATATGCTGTTCCCGTTCCTGACGAGCTCTTACTTATGTAAATTATTTTGAAAAAAAAAAAAAAAATTGACTTGAATTAATATGGCACGCATCTAGGCGGATGCATTATTTATGTCGGAAAATGGGAAACTCGAGGGAAAGAATTGGACCCGAAAATAATAAGTAGAGCGCCCGCATGGTAGAGAGGCTATTAAATAGATGTTGTGCACGGTTCTAAGATCAAAGCCATTGATCTGTGATTTTTTCGTGTTGCTCACGGCATCAGATCTTTCGACGCATTGGCCATGAGTGTGTGCTTTGGTGCTCGTAGTCATTAATCATTTTGGTGGTGATGACTGATCGACTGTTGATGTTGTGATCGGTGGGTCGAAGATGTTCGAGGCTGGCCATGCGCCGTCATACCGAGGCGAGGGCGAGTGCGGAGGCTTGAGTCACTGGACACATACTCTGTGATCCATAAACTCATTATTGAATGAAGTATTCTAGCTCATGTTGATGGACTGCGTGTTGGGATGATGCTCCAGCCCTACGGTTGTTCAAACCATCCGACGAGACTGATATGCCAGACAAATAAAGACAGACGGCAAAGGGGAAAAAAAGAAAAGAGAAAGGGGGGGGGGGGGGGGTCACCAGTTCATAACGGGCCAGAAGTGAAGCCCAATAAAGAAGGCAAGGAGCTCCAGTGGTAAAAGATTCATTGAGCAAACATCAGGAATTGAAGCTATGCGAATTCCACAAGATAAAACAACATATCGACCGCAACATCGGGGTACTTATCCATGAGCGACTCGGCAGCCGGCTTGGGTCTTCTGGAATTGTGAAGGTGAGGATGAGTGTATACGGGGACCTACAGATCAGTTCACTCTTTGAGGGACTCGCACGCGGAGACAGAACGTGACAAACACAAAGAAGCCGAATGTAGCATAAATAGACGTGAAATTTTGTTGCAGACGAGAAGCGCTGCAAGATACCCACCCCTACCTCCAATAACATTACGTGCAATATAAATCGTTTGACTGCTCATCTCCTCTTTGTGTAACTGCGAACCCTCGATCTACTCCAAGGATCCCGCTGCCGTAAGTAAACGACAGCGGTGCCAGATACTCCTTGGAAAACCCCCCCACACCCAGCCAGGTAATTAACCGAGCAGATCGTCCAACCCGTGGTTGCCGCCAGTGGTGGGCCTGCTACCGCTAGTCGGAGTGGAGGGCGCAGGAGTTCCCCAAATACCAGCACTACTCTTCTCTTTGGCCAGCTGTCCGATAGCCGGACCCTTGGTGGTAGGTGTGCTCTTCTTGATTCCAGCACTAGCCTGCGACCACAGCGCACCGAAGGCGTCACCGCCAGCGGCTGGCTTGGAGGCAGCTGAACCGGTTGCCTTGGTTCCTGAAAGCGAGGACCCGGTGGACTGGGTCTGCAGCTGTACCGGGGAAAAGTAGTTTGGCTGACCGGCTTGGAAGCCAGTTGGCTTGGGGGCCTGGGAGACGGGCGAAAGGGGCGTGGAGAAAGCCGAGAAGTTGGCAGCAGGAGTCGTGGTGGAGCTGGGAGGAGGAGAGATGGAGGAGAGGGCAACCATGCCGCTGAGGTTGGCCTGCTGAGGTGCCGAAACTGGTTGCGGGGCAACAAACTGTGTGCCAGTAGAGAGGGGGGCGATTGGGGGAGAAATCGCAGAAGCAGGCTGAGTGGCGGGGGCTGCAGACTGGAAATCATCGAACTCGTCGTCGTCGTCATTGGCGCCGCCGGCTAGAGCCGCAAGCCCAGAGCCGTTGGAAGGTGCGGCGGCGAGGGGCGCGGTCGGGATGGATGGCGCTGCGGGCTCGTCGAAGGAAAACAAATCGATCTCGGGCTCCTTTTTCTTGGGTGGCTCGGCGGGTGCTGTTGTCTTCTTGACCCCGGCTCTTTCTGTCGTGGATCGTGTTGTCCTTGGCGCGGTACGAGACGACGCCTCGCCGTCCAAGTCACCTGCATCGTATTCCTCAAACTGCTCTGCCCGCGCCTGGGTCCCGCGGAAGTCGTTGTTGGAAGGCTGGCCACCAAAAACACCTCCGTCGCCATAAACTCCTCCAGAATAGCCACCGTAGGTAGAGCTACTACCACCGCCACCGCTGCTGCTACCGCCATACGAAGTGTTGCCGAAACCGCCATAACGGCCGCTGCTCCCGCTGGAGAAGCTCATTCCACCCGAAATGCCCGTGAACTTGCCCTTATTTGCGCGGGCCTTCTTGCGCTCTGCTCGGATACGCTCGACATCGCTGAGGAGCTCGGCGAGTTCCTTGGCACGGTTGCGGACGTTGATACCCTGGTCTTTGCCGTTCTGGTCGATAAAATGGAACTGGCGCAGCATCTTGAGGAGGGTAAGATGCGACCGAGCATCGTCCACCACTCGTTCGGAACCGTGCTTGATCAGGTACTCTAGTAGTTGAAGGGCCTTGTAGATCTGGCGCCATTCTTCGGCGGACTTTTCTGTGAAACGGCGGTAGATCATGGGCATGATTTCGTTGAGTGTTTGGCTAAGAACAAGGAGAGAAACGCAAATTAGCCGCGTTCGCATACAAGCGAGTAGTTCGCGACAACGTACTAGTTGAAGGTACCATCGGCGATCTCCTGCATCAAAGTCGACGATGCACCCCAGGGTTCATTGTTGGTGGCCTCGCGCACCTGGGTTCGCTGTCAGCTCCCGTCCCATGGTCTCTCGTCTGGGATCAGGTAAATGGCGAAGGGCGCAAGAGAATGGTGCCAGTGTGGCGCGTGGATACGGGCATACCTTGGACTCCATCTCGGTATAGTTCATGACAGCTGGTTGGAGCCATTGTCAGCACCTTGATAACGAAATCAGGAGAGAGTCTTGGTTAGGTGGTCGCCTACCATTTTGAACCTTTCGTACGCCAGCCTTGATGTCGTAGAGTGTCAGGTTGGACACGGTATCCTTGAGGCTATTGAAATCCATTGCGTAAACGTGTCTACCGCCGGAGTTGCTGGGAATTGTTCTGATGGGCTAAGGTAATTCTCTAGATCCAATCTGAGCCTCGCGGTGATGATTGCCAGATGCTGTGGCGACTTGGTGGTTTTTGTTCAGGCTGATCGCTTTCAGGGCGACGTTTCACGGTCTTGTCGGGATCAGATGGACATTGAGGTGGCCTAGCGTCAGGGTGCCGCTGAGCGCTGACCTCAACTGACGCCGTCCAAGGCCGACCCCTGCGCTTGACCCGACACCCTGACGCCAAGAAGCCAGTGGAACTCAGGAGGACTGCCAAGACTTTGGATGCTTGGCACGAGCGTCTCAGCTCTTTGAAGCCTGACACTTCAGGCAAGAATTCTGCTTGTAATTGCCGGGCCGGCCGACACCGCGGCGCGGCGGGAGGGGACGCTCGGCCGCCGGAGCTCGCTTCCATGCGTTTTGGATGGAGTAAAAATTGTTGAACACCCGACCCGACTCCGTTCTCCCTCTCGTCTCTGGTCTTCGTTGTGCATCCATCGCCGTGTAGCACATTTCCATTGTTCGTTTGTTCGGACTTTATCTTGTACTTTTAGCTTCATTACTATCCCACAATCATCCAGGATTTCATCTTCCAGAATCGGTACGTTGTCATTTTTTTTACTTTTGTCGCCATGTTCTTTTTGAGCCTTTTCTGTCTAGAGGAGCTCTCCCTGCCGGCTGGGAGCTTGCCCAAAGCTCCAAGCTCTATCTGTGGCAGAGCTCTGAGAGCTTCCATTCCCGGGATTTCTTGGCATCAGATTCAATTCGAATGACCTTTTTTCCATCCACGCTCGAGATGAGGGGTGAGGTTTGTCAGTTTGACGATACCACCGCCTTTTGGTTCCTACCCCAGACATGGCCATCAAGGTCGTTAAGCCGTCCATCCCTCTTGTTCGGCTTGGGGTATCGTCCATGGCTCCGCAATGTCGTCAATGGCTGCATTGACAGAGGGGGACTCCAAATGAAGAGGCAATCGCAACGCTATGAAGACCCAACAAGCCATATGATGGAGCCATGGGTCTACGGTCCTTTGGCCCGGATGTCTTTGATAGCTCTTGCCAGCACTTTAGCTGCCAACTATACACACACGGGTGGTGGCAGTTTTGGTTGTCATTGCCGTCAGCGTCAGGGCCGACGGGACCTTGGAGACTCGGGGGGGAAGCGCCGACACCAGATGGCAGCTGTTTACTTGTTCGTACTGGTGTTCCTGAGCCAACGAACCAATCCGAAGCCCACATGCGCCAAACATGACACTTGCAGAGGCTCATACCACTCCACGTTGTCAAGCTGACCTGCTGTTTCGTCTCCCGCCGCACTGGCAAACGAGACCGAAACAGGCGGCGTGGCGACAGGCCGACAGCTCGAGTCGCAACAATCAATCACGTGGCGAGCAGCTACGTACCTTCTCCGCCCCCCACTTCTCGGATTGGCTGACCCCTCCTTTCCATTTTAGTGAAAATGTTTGGACCCCGCCATTTCTCTGTCCTTAAGACAACAGGTTCTCTCGTCTCCTCGACTTTCTCGTCATCTCTCAAGCCCACTGCAACTTTCTCCTGCGCCAGAGCTTTTTCGCAAACATCCAGCATCATGTCCAAGGTGTAAGTCCAACCGCTTCTCCAGGTCCGCGCAAACATGGAAGCTGCGCCTACCTACCCGTAGCTTCAGGGACACCGACTGACCTGCATGCTTTAGTTTCTTCGATCTCGAGTGGGAGGGTCCCGTCCTCGGCCCCAACAACAAGCCCACCAGCGAAATCAAGGGTAAGTCTACTCTCCTCATCTGCTTTGTCTTCATCAATCAGGCTCAGGAAACTTGCGACGGTCGCTCGGACTTCACCTGGACGGCTGTCGTTGTTCGCAATGAGCACGGCGTCATCCCGGTGTTGCCGCAGCCCGCAAGCTCCTGAACTACCCCTCCATATTGGTGCCCCTGAATCATAACGCCCGCACCACTCAGCCTCACCGCCCTCCCCCCCGCCCCGCCCGTCAACTGTCATGTCATGCCCATCGGATGTCTAACTCCCAATGCAGCTCAGTCTGGCCGCATTAACTTCACCCTCTACGACGACGTTGTCCCCAAGACCGCCCGCAACTTCAGGGAGCTCTGCACTGGCCAGAACGGCTTCGGCTACAAGGGCTCTTCTTTCCACCGCATCATCCCCGAGTTCATGCTCCAGGGTGGTGACTTTACCCGTGGTAACGTAAGTCCATACCCACCCAACAAGCTATCGAACATGGGAGAATCAAGACCTAACCTCTCTGAACAGGGCACTGGTGGCAAGTCCATCTACGGCGAGAAGTTCGCCGATGAGAACTTCGCCAAGAAGCACGTCCGCCCTGGTCTTCTTTCCATGGCCAACGCCGGCCCCAACACCAACGGCTCCCAGTTTTTCGTCACCACTGTCCCCACCAGCTGGCTCGATGGCCGCCACGTCGTCTTCGGCGAGGTCGCTGACGATGAGTCCATGAAGGTCGTCAAGGCCCTTGAGGCTACTGGCTCCAGCAGCGGTGCTATTCGTTACTCCAAGAAGCCCACCATTGTCGACTGCGGCGCTCTCTAATTTTCTTGTGGAGATTGTCGAGGGTGTTGGAGTTGGAGTCGCAGTACCGTAATATTCATATAAATGTGCTGCTATGATAGCTAGATAGCTCATCAAAATGGATCTTCTGCGCGACACACCCACCCTTCTTCACTGCATCGTCATCACTGTCACTTTGATGGTTGATGTGATCACGCAAACTAATGTCTTTCCCTAGACAGTCTACAGGTCATGTGAATGTTATCGCCAACACATTGAATGCTAAACAGGTTGCCTCCAACGCCTAAATGAAACCAAATTACCCTTGCCTTCTTTTTTTTACGCCGTCAATGCAGTTGTGATAGAGACCATGCAATGTGTTCTAAGCAGAGACACAGACACATTGGAGTCGATCAGATCGAAATGACTTGTTCCTGGACCTCGTCACCATCCAGCCACCGTCTGAAATAGACGCAGTTGCTGGGGCTGACAGGTCCGCCTTCCTCGCACATATCATAGACAGGGCACCGCCCGCAAGGAGCCTCCATAAGGCCACTTGCACTCGGCTCGACTCCCATAAATGAGGTAACAATGCCTCCTTTGGTTGGATCATGGTCGAGGCGTCGTTGATTGCACGTCCTCGGATCCTGTTTGGGAATGCGCGTCACACGGTACCCCTTGCGCCCATTGACCTTGACAGGCTCTACTAAACCATCGTAGTATAGCACGTCCACCAACTGTTGGATATCCGCCTCGCTCAACGTCGTATTGTTCGTGATGCCGGCGTGGTGGATGAACTTTGCAATGTCCGACACGGTCGGGTACGACTTGTAACCGGCCGGGAGAGGCAGCAATTGCGGCTTGCCGGGCCTGGTCTTCTTGGCCGGTGCCGCTGCCGCCGTGTCGTCGTTGGAAATCTCGCCCGCGCTGCGCTTCGTCCCCTTGGAAATATCCTCCGAGTGGGGAATGGTCCCCTGAACCACGCCCTTCTTGGGATTCTTTTCACGCTGCTGCGCTCCTCCTCCTTGTGCCCCTACTCCTGGTATCCCAGCACCGCCGCCGTGGGAAGTATATGTCGATTTCTGCTTGATAAAGTCAAACACAATTTCCTGTAGCTCGTTGATAAAGGCCGTGTCGAGCTCGCCCTCGGTGAACCAGGGGCCACCCGTGGCGCGATCGGAGGGACGTAGGTTCGCCTTGATGTACATCTTCTTGTTGGGGTGCTCGACGTTCTTCATGCTGGCGATGTAGCCCTTTTGCTCGAGATACTTGATGCAATGCTTCATAAGCGAGTCGGCCATGTTGAGCTTGTTCTTGATGGTCCGGTTCCAGATGCCGTCGGCCCCGGCTTCGTCGACCATGGCGTAGACCATCATTATTTCGGAGTTGGGGAGGGAGGTGTACCTTTTAGGAGGAAGGGGAGGTTAGTTGGTGTGCTCGATTGTGTCCTAAAAAGAACAAAGAAAGGTAGTAACGCACTTCTTTGCATCCTCCCGGCTTCGCCATCTCCACGACAGCCCCGATGCCGTGGTGTTGCCGACAAAGAGCTTCTCATCGCAGAGAATTTGGATCACCTGCATGAGCAACCCGATATTGTCTTGGGGAATGACCTGCATGTCCAACAGGTCCCGCTGCGTGAAGAGACGCTGGTCGGAACCGTGGTCCCTCGCCGCCTCGTAGAGCGCATCCTTGAGGATCTGGATCTTGTCGCGGTCGGCCATCGTGTGCTGGTGGTGATTAGGAATTTCGTGTGGTGGTTCTGGTGACCGAGACGCAACAATTTGGAAGAAAAAAGGGACTCGTGACGGGATAAAGACAATGCCCTGACTGGTTATAAGCGTCAATGCCCAGTCTGAAATGGGTCTGTTGATTGGATTTAGAGAAGGTGTGGCGTATGGCCAACTGCAGGTCGGTTTGCCAAACCGAGTTGCACTGGTTGACCACGAAATTTCCCAGAAGAAATGCCCCACCTCTCTCAGCCTTGCATAAAGGAGCAGAATGAAGCGTTTTCTGATTGGTCGATATATTCAATGCCAAGAAGGTGACTGCTGCTTTGAGTTGCCAGAAGTTGATTCGTCAGATGTCCTCCTTCCGATAAGTAAGGGTCATGATCAACATGAAGTGAACCTGCGAGCATTGATGACCCCCAAGTCTTGTATTTCTATATCAAATTGTCAAAGTAATTCTTTCTTGACTTTCTACGTGTGACGGAAATCGAGGTGTTGTATACTCCACGGTATGCTCGATGTAAATGTCCCCTTCAGTGGAGCACGTTCCACTTTCTGATCAGCCTTGCAGGACCACACAGGCCATCCCATTTTCGCAGGCTTCTGCAACCTTATCACTTTTCTCATCCTTCAACCTTCCAACCACCAAGTTCCATTGACAAAGCAACTCTCGCGGATCGAGTCACCACACTACATCGTGTACACGTCACCTAGCTCACACCCATTGTTTCCTGCTTGATTATTTCTCCACCCCGACCTAACTTTATCTGCTCATCAAACTCCTTCTGCGAAACTCAAAGTGCAACCCGAAGGATATCGATGCCCAAAATGGACGATAAACGCATTGACTTAAAGAACCTCTTGCCGCAGTGTATCCCATGATCCAACCACCGACAATCTGGGCATGACTACCTCTTCATCTTCTTACAACTTTAGCTCATCACAGGATGATTCGCCAGTTTGCTTGACGGTGCCTGATTCTCGCACCAAAGGGAATCAACACTGCCATACCTCCGCCCAGTATGAGCGCAAATACGCCTGCCGTTGTCCCGAAAGCCTCAACATAACCCACCATCTGGACCCAGATCAAAACCGACGCTGCGAAGAAGAAGCTTACAATATGCTTTGTTCCTATTGACATCATGCCGTGATTAGCCAGGTTACTCAACCAGGAGGGAGTCATGCTGCTTCTTACCATTGACAAGCATAAGAGCATCCGGGTTTAGTGGAAGCAGACAGTCCGAGACATAGGCTATGGTGATGGTCGGCACCGCCGTCAATGCTACCGAGATCATACCATATCCAAAGAACAGGCTGACCCAGCCCATTGCCTTTTCAACGCCATACCCGAACACCAAACAACCCGAGCCGCTGATGATCAGAGGTACGATGCAGAGCCACAGTCGGTTCTCTGGTTCGTAAACGCCATTGTTGCGCTTGGTCTTCCAGTCGCAAAACTTGTCAACCGCCCAGCCGCCCAATACGCTGCCGAAGAGGTTGCCAATGAGTCCCGGGATGTTGATCAAACCGTTGATCATGGGCGACCAGTTATACGGCGGTGCCTGAAAAACAAAGGGATTGAGGATGTTCACGGCCACCGTCATCTCCAGCGAAATTGCATATGCAAGAAAGGCAAAAATGACGCAGGGATATAACCACAAGGGCAAGGGTCGGATGAACAACCGCCAGAGGGGGGTGTCACGAGAGACTACAGGCCATAGTCCAATCTCTTCTGCCCAGCACTTCTTTGGGAGATTCAGACCTGCGTCGCTCTCATCAGTGTCGCCCAGATGTGAACGAGCTCCCTGAGCATTTCCGAAACCGAGCCCCTTTTCCGCATTCGAGCGACTGACTAGCCTTGGAGTCGGTCCTCGACTGGTCCCCGAGTCGGAGTCAACTGGCCTTAGGCTGTAGCGGACATAAGTTGTCTCGGGCACCAGGAAAGCAACCGCCAAGAAGTTGGGGACAGTCAGAATGAAGGTCATCCACTTATGCCATCTCCAACTGTACTTCGACACGATGAAGCCACAAATGAGTGGACCGATGGTGTTCCCTCCCGAGAGGAAGGTCATATAGGTACTCATCACGGAACCCCGTTCATGCAAGAAGTACAGGTCGTTTGCCATGCTCGCTCCGAGGGCTTCGGTCGACGATCCAGCAAACGCTGCAACGATGAGGGACGATAGCAAGGACTCGAACGTTTCAGCCACGGCTCCCCACATGGAGCACGCGCAGAGCAGCCCGCACGCGAAAAACAACACTGGCCGTTTGCCCCAATAGTTGGCAATGGGTACCCAGAAGAAGTTGGAGGCGCCAAGTGTGAGGACGGGCCATAGCAGCAGGGCGCCGGTCTCTGCTTGTGTCTTTCCGAATTCCAGGGAGAGGAGGTAGAAGGCAGGTGTCAAGCCCCCGATGCCGAAGTTGGTTAAGAAAGCGAACCAACATACCGATAGGAAAGCGACCCTCTTCTTGCCCCGGCTCCAAAACAGGGGATCGTTTGGGTCGTTGGATGGCTTCGGGACCAGGACAACTGGGGAGTTCTCGGCTCGGTACAGCCGCACTGTCCCTTCGGTGGGATCCAGGTCATGAACACTATGGAGTACCATGATGCCTTGGCGCGCTTTGGGTCCTTGTCTTCTTGTGGTCAGGGCTGTCGAAGTTGTTACAACAAAGACTGACGACTGAAGGACCAAGAAATGATAGTTGGTGCTTCAGGCTTTACAAAATCAAGTCGTCATGATAATGGTACCCAGCGTCCACGGGAGTCGAACGAGCCCTTTTCTCATTTTCAACCCATCTCTTCGACTCTCTTGTCGCGCTCTGAACCGGTCATCCGATTGTGAAATCGTGATTGCCCAACATCGACGCGCCTATACCTGACAGGGGCATATTGACATCGTCTGATTGGTATGCTCAGAAGTATGTGATGTCGCGGTGTGAGCCTCTACAAAGCCCGTTGGCTTCCAGAAACATCAGTCCAAAGTCTTCGGCATACATCTGATGACTGAGACGCTGTGCATACTCTCTGGCCAACAATGCATGCACAAGAACAGACGATTCATGGTCATGAACCTACCACTGCTTACATATATGATGAGGTTCGGTCTAGGTATGCAGGGTTAGCTAGCTCTGTAAATGACATCCTCGACAGAGTATCACGATCCTTTTGACCCATAACTGCCAATGTTAAGTTGTGTTACCTCACAACGCGAAGTCACCACTTAACAACTGACAGAAACAAACCATCCTTGTGAATCAAGGCTCTTCAGCACCACAACCAAAAGGCATCCCGCCCTGATCGCGCACAGCATGCCGTATGATCTCGTCAACCTCGGGTTACAGATGAGGCATGATTGTGCGGATTCTGTGGGGCTGAAGGTCTGCCGGTTGCGTTCGGCTGTATGTACGTGGCTGTAGAGGCAAATGGCAGAGCTATTACCCCCGCTTCTCGACGAAATCATACGGTATCCCCATTTCATGCAGAAGATCACGTACTTGCGTTTGTGCTCATGGGATAATTCTCATGCTCAAAGGTTGTGGGTTCCTCGGAGACTTTGACAGTCAGCGAAATGGCATCAGCCCAGCTCAATGGCCTTTGCGAAATTCAGGGAAGAGGGTTTAGCGGTGGCTCTCGCTCACCCGGTGACAGGATTGTTTAACGGATCTGAACCGGTTTAGACGAACTTTGCAATTTCTTGTGTCGTCTAGATTCTTGTTCAGACACGGTTTGAAGTTGCATCTCTTCCAACGCACTCGCCGTCGATCTGTAAAATCCGGTTTGAGGGCTACCGTTGCTGGAAGAGCAAGCCGTTAGTTAACCCTGAGCAATGACGATGGAGCAAGTATCTTTGGCGAGCAACAGCAATACGGAACCAAGTGCAGAACGTTCCAAAAACACACACCAGTCTGCCGAGACTGCCAACAACTGCCAATACCTGCCAATACCTGCCAATGCCTGCCAATGGCCTGCCAATACCTACCCATTGGATGCGAATTGGATGCCGCCAATCCGCCAAGCGAATATCGAAATCGTCCTTTGGATCTTTCAGAAATTGGATACGGTTTTGACTTACGATTGTCATTTCCTCCCTCGGTCGCTTAGCCGGTTGTTTGCGATGTTTGCTCTATAGCTCGTCGTCGATCTCCGACCATCTCCGCTCTTTAGCCGTTACCTAGACTAGTGGTTTGATCTCGCCTGTTGCCGCTGTGGGTAGGACTAAGTCTCAAAAGAACACCAAACCCGAACCCTGCAGTTTTGTGGATGCCCATATCACCGGTCTTACCCACAACGGCCACTGCAATCTTTTCTCGCTCGTTCGTATCATCGGTTTCATAGCCCACAACGTGAATGGTCTTTTCCTTGTTCCAGCCTTGTCGGGCTACATGTTACAACCACATTTTCGTGCCTACCGCACTCGTTGCCTCCGGGCTGTTTTCCCGGTGCTACGGATCTCGTTCCGGGCAATGCAGACTCGCGCGCCCAAAGGTGCGCCAGGATGTCTATGTTATCTCCCTGAAGGTAGAAGCTGGGAAGGACCTGGAGAGGCCCGCTGCGTTCATTCGCTTCTTGCTTCTTGGTGGATATTTGCTCCAGAGTGCCACGCCTTTTTTCGATTGTCTCGGACATGACACTCCAGCTAGGCGATCACATTTCGATGCTTGGACAACCCAGAACATCATTTCTCTGATGGCAAGGGGAGGCCGGCGGCCGCCAGAAGGCACTATTTTCTCATCCCAGCGTTGTCGAGGTTCGTCCGAACGGGTACCTACCTCTAGTACAGATGAGATGCAAGGTACGATGCAACCTCGACATTTCCCAGGGTCGTGCACTTGGTACCAATTTCTACTGGCTCAGCCAAAGCCATGGTGATGATTATGGCAGCCAACAAACTGTTTTCATTGGCCCTGCTCATCCAATTTCGAAATGATGATGCAAGTCAAAGGCAATCTACGACAGAGATGGCCCTAGTTTCAGTCCCTAGCGTCCTTCTTTCGCTCACGGAAGGCACCCTTCAAGCGAAAGGCATCCCGCACATCTTACAAGGTGTAATTGTCAGGGGTAGTACGAGATGAGCAAGATGGGGCACAGCTGAGAATCAGGACCATTACAAAAAGAAGCCTAACGGCCACCTCCACGATTTTTGTTCTTCTTCTTCATTTGTTCGTCGTGCGGCCGCAGTCACTCGTTTGTCATATCCGCAGTGCCGTCACTCCTTGCAGTCAGCAATCACGATATATCTTTCTGCTCATTTTGTTTTATATCTTTTATTTTCCCCCGGATCTCATTCAAGATGCGTGTGCTTGCTCTCGCTGCCCTCGCGGCGCCGCTTGTCTCGGCCCTGCAGTTCACTGATCCCGTCGCCAATGCCACCCTTCACAAGGGTGAGACCTTTGACCTGAAGTGGTCCACCGTCGATACCGACCCCACCGACTTCAGCGTGTACCTGGTCAACTTTGTCAACTGGCCTCCTTACTATACGCCTTTGGCCTATAACATTGAGCCTTCTTCCGGCGAGCTCAGCGTGACCATTCCCTGCGACATTGATAGCTCCTATGGCTGGCAATTGTATGTTCACCCTTTTTTGCATGTTCATGTCATGCATGACCTGAGGACCCCACCCCACCCATCCCAAACAAACCCCTGGGTCTCCTTCTCCCTTCCTTTCGGGAAGTGGACCCCGTCTCAGGAACCAACACAATGAACAACGTAAAGGCTGACCTCGCTGCCCCCTTTCTTCTCCTGGCAGCAATGCTATCAACGGGACCAACGTCTACGTTATCTATGCCCAGACGCCCAAGTTCTACATCAGCGGTGGTCCCTGCTCGGTTGATTCGCCCTTCCCGACCGGGGCGCCCTCGAGCTGCGCGCCGGCGGCCACCGTTACCGTCACGGTGAGCACAACCCTTTCGCAGTCTTCCTTCTCCACTCTTCTCTACGCCAACTCCACCGGAACCGCCAGCCCTACTACTCTCATGAAGCCCGCCACCATTACCAAGTCCCCCATTCCTGGAAAGTGTCCTGACACCATTGGCTGGGGCCCTTCAGGCTACGGTAATCCCGTAAAGCTGGCCGCTGTCCCTACCGGTCCCGGTGACGTCCCCGCGCCGGCCACCACCGCTCCGCCCATGATCAACGGTGCTGCCTTCTTTGCCGAGACTGGCAGCACGAGCACCATCTACCACACCGTCTACAAGGATCTCTCTGAGGTCCAGGATTGCATGTGCTAAGCAACATGGCTCGTGCTGCCATGCGAGAAACAAAGACGAAGGAAGCTTGATTGATGGAAGGATTTAAGGATGTGATGGAGGGTGTTTTGTTAGGCCAAGTGTTGGTGGTTTGTGGGCTTGGAAACCTAAAGCGAAAGTCAGCGAGACAGGAGTTGTATCATTTTTATTTCCCTTTTTTACTCTAATCTTCAAAGAGCACTAGCGTCTGAATTGTAAACCGTGGTTGCAAAATCCATCAACTGAGTTCGAGCTTGGAGTGCAAGTGTGTTTGCGCATAATTTCGGTATGAAGAAGATAATATAGGGAAGCTTTGCGACGGGAGTATCTGGTATGGCTTGGACTTTAAAAAGACACAAGATCTGGACGATACGTAGGCCGAGCACATGAAAATGCCGAGGCTGGCGGAAGCGGTTCACTGTTTGATTCGGTCGGAAGACAGATTATCTACGGAGGACCTTGGCCGGACAGCAGATGTCATCGGGTGATGTCTTGCCATTTCGGCTCGTCCCGGGATTGTGGTGGGGATAAACACGGCCCGAATCTGGTCCTGCTGTGAGACCATCCCGGACCCTCTCGGATCTTGCTCTCCGAAAACCTACCAACGAGACCTGCAGGTAGGTCATAACCGGACAGCAATTTCATCCTTACAACGCCTGGATTTGGTGGTATTCACATGCTGAACTTTGCACCATCCTGACTTTAATTCCCAAGGCAACATCTGATGATTGAAGCGGCTGACCAAGTCGCTGATGGACGGAGCCATGAACTCGCCCACAGACCGCCAAATATCACAAATCACATAAACGATTTAAGCGTAACCAGTCAGTTGTCTTTGGGAGTCGCTGTGAGTGGTAGGGAGGGAATCGGAGATTTAGTTTTGCACCGTAAACTCCGGTCATACTTTCGGCAACCAATGATATCTGTCGTTGTCTCCGAAAATGGAAAAGCGGGTGGGCCCTGACACGGAGAAAGGGTGTTGTCAAAATCTCCGGTCAAACGCCGATTGACATTCCAGACCGTCATCAGTTCTTCAATCGATGATCCCCTATGCGAAAGCCATGTAACCCATTTCTTGGGTTTTTTGTTCATAAATTCACGAAAATGGCGCAGGTTGGGCGAGAAGAAACCCCAACGGCAACGACGCACGGAGTCGGCGGTGGAGGAGGACGAAGTGATTCACTAGCATCGGAGAGCGCGCCGTCCAACACGAATGCGAACTCGCATCCGACAAACGCCAAATGGGGAAATGCCTGTTCCCAGTGTGCGGCGGCAAAGGCAAAATGTTCGCGACAGTCTGATGCTCCTGGGACCAAGTGCCAAAGGTGTGAACGTCTGGGTAAAGATTGCACAAGCCAGGTGCACCGTCCGAGGAAGAAGAGAGCTGTTCGGCCATCGTTCGTAACACACCACTCACGTATTCATTGTGTGTAATTCGCGATCCGATCTCACTAACCCATGTTCGACTCATAGAAAGACGGCTCAGCTGGAACAACGGCTCAATGGATTGGTCGATCTCCTCAAGGCCACTGGGGATTTGCGAGGCATCCCCATCGCGGATAGTGTTGCCTCTCACGAGGTGGTGTCGGCCTATGATAGTGTTTCATGCATAGCCCGAGACCGTAAGCGATGATTTTATCATCATCATCAACCTTGAGGGTCTTGCTGACTTAACCCCGTTCATACTCTTAGACGACCTTGATATTGCCGTAGGCGCTCCTCAGGCATCCGGCTTTGGAAAGAGGCGAGCAAGTCTCACGCCCTTGGAAGATGATTGTCATGGCACCACCGAGGGTGGCTATTCCGACAATGAAAGCCACAGTGGCAGCTCAGAACTGCTGGGCGAAAGACCTATCCATGTGCCCAATCATTACAACTCTTGCGCCCCTTCCGGTTGTATGGGCAGAGCACAGGGCGAGTCTCGTGGTCCGTCAGAGTCAGACGAGACCATCCTCACCATCTACCAGACCCATCTCAGTCCGCTGTTTCCCTTCGTCGTTATTCCCGTTGGTACGACAGTCCAAGAACTCGAACAGTCCCGTCCGTTTCTCTTCTCGGCCGTTCGGATGGTGACGACCCTCACAAGCATGCGGTCGATGCGAGCTCAGATGTATCGGCTGGTCCGACATGTCTCTGAACGCATGCTCTTGCGGTCAGAGAGGTCATTGGATCTGCTGCAAGGCATTCTCGTCATGATTGGCTGGTATCAGTACCATTGCCTGATGCATGCCCAGTTGAACAACCTCATACACCTGGCCGCGAGTCTTGTTTCCGACCTGGGACTGAACCGGGATCCGAAGGTGCAAGAGAGGGTAAGCGTCATGGTACTGTACCCCGACGATCCAAAACCACGGACAAATGAGGAACGGAGGGCGCTTTTGGGCTTATGGTATATCGCTTCAACGTGAGTATTACGTGAAACCGTCACCTTTCCTGTTATACCTATGAGCTCTATGCTGACGTGTAACACCATCAGTATATCCGTGGCGTTTGGAAAACTCGAGTCCATCAGGTACTCGCCATACATTCAGCAGTGTCTTAATGAGCTACAAGAATCGAAGGAGTTTGAAACAGATGGGGTACTGGTCCACATGGTTCAGTTACAGCGTCTGATGGAGAAGATCGCCCAAGTCAACTCCAAAACCGAGCTTACGGAATCCATTGGAGGGATTGCTAGGGCTCCAGATGCGGCGTACATGTCGACGTTCCAGAGTGAGCTTGACAAGATATGTCGTTCACTCAACAAGGGCCAAGAGAACAATAGTATGACTGCACTCAACAAGCCTTCGAAAGTTGCCCAGTTTATGCTAATGCACGCTCTAGAATACCTCATGGTGTACGTACATTCGGCCAAGATGCGTCTTTGCGAACCTCCAGTCATCGATGCATCATTGCTGGCCAAGTTCTACAAAGACCTTACTGCGCTTGACGACAACACTCCGTCGGCTCTTGATGTCTTTTACCGGGTAAGCAGTGGGGTGCGAGAGTGGTTCGATCATTGGTTTACCGTACCCGTATCAGCATACTTTTACCTGCCGGTGTCTATCATCTGTCAGATCGTTTACGCCGTAACGATGCTTGCTCGATGGTCCAAAATCGTCTCCCCCATCAAACCTTTGGCATCTTCACAAACGAGACACACCATCTCGACGCCAGCCCATCCTCAGCAACCCACTACCACAACATCATATACTTCAACATATATCTCAACACCTGCCTCCGTGCCTACGCCCTCTCCACACTACAGCCGACCACCCGCTACATCCTCAACTATCAGCACCCCCGCGACCACCACCTCCGGTCCCGGCCTCGGAACCCCATCCCCTTCCATCATCGCCCGGGACATCTCCGGCTTTGTCGGCTCCCGCGCCACCTCCATGGAGCCCACGACGACCACCACTCCTAAGAATACTACCACCGCCGCTATCGAGCACCCAACCGGCCCCAACCCTAATAACAACAATAACAACCAAACCAACAATCTGAACAACCCCCTCTCCTCCTCCATCCGCTGGCGCGAAACCACCGACCCCCACCTTCCCCACATCGTCGCTATGCTCCAAGAACAGCTCAACTCCCAGCCCGGCCTGCGCGTCGACATCACCGAAATCATGACCCAGCTCGGCGCCCGCTTCCAACAGGCCAGCGACAACATGAAGGAAGCGAGCGGCGGCGAGCCGGATAACAACATGTGGGAGGTCAGTGCTAAGGGGTTGGCTATGACTAAGGCCAAGTTGGAGCGGTTTGCCGAGTTTGTGGCTCAGGGGGGCAAGCTTGATGATCATGATCAGGGCAAGAGCGAAGGGGATGACGCGGCTTGTTTGAGACCGGGATGTGGTGGAGATGGGGGGAGGAGGAGGAGGAGGAGGGAAACGAGCACTTTTCCTAATCAGGAAGAAAAAGAAGGAGGAGGAGGAGGAGCAGCGGGAGGTGGAGGTGGAGGTGGTGGAGGGGTTGAAGCTATGTCTGGGCGTAGTACCTCGGCGTCTGGCTCTGGTTCTGGAACCGGAGGAGAGAGACATTCCCAGGCCACCACTTCGACACGAGTCAGGGAAGCAGCAAGAGAAGAAGGAGGAGGAAGAGGGGGAGCTGTAGTAGCAAGCGGCAATGTCATTGCTACACGGCAGTCACAGTCACAATGGCTGACCGGTCAAAGCCAAAACCTGCAAGGACAAACACAAGCACAAGGACAAAGCATGGGGAAACCACATCATGCGCAGCAGCAATATCAACATCAACAACATCCACCTCCTCCTCTTCATGGGTCCTATTCGAATACAACAGCCATGAGTGGTGTGAATGCTCACCACAGCCTAGGCGCCGGGGTCCATGGCGGGGATACCGGATTCTCCTCCGCCGCCGCCGTGACGGGGACGACAGGAGGGGGGGCAGCAGGGGGGGTAGGAGGAGGAGGGCAATGCAACAATCTACTTGCCACAGAGTTCATGGATCAACTGGCCCCTTGGCTTTGGTACTACGGCGTTGAAGACTGGCCTGGGACATAAATGGGTGGGGTATAAACCGTTGAAGGTGTATGGGTACCGACCTCTATGGGTGTGGATGCGGGCACGAATACGGGCATAGATATCGGTTAGCATGGCTTAAGGGCACACACACTACATACCTACCTACCTACCTACCCAGGTATCTACAGATGAATAGGAGAAAGATCAACATAGTGGCATACATGGCAATTTCTACTCTGCTTTTTTTTTTTTTTTTTTTTTTTTTTTTTTTTTTTTTTTTTTTTTTTTTTTTTCAGTTAGTTGCCAGACGTTGATTGAATACATAGGTACATGTAATAAAGGCAGCCTCACTTTTCTAGAAGGACTTGCAAGGGTCGCGCACACATACACATACATATAGAGTACATACAGCCCAGTGTTTTTGTACCATTCAAGGGTATGAATGAATGATGGTACGGGCGTGGCGTGATCTAACCTGTTTTCATTTGTTGATCGCGGGAAGAACAAAAGAGGACGTGGAGTTTCCGTTTTTTTTTTTTGTGCCGACTGCGACTATGGCATACGACCCTGGCACGGAAGCAAGGCGGATAGGTACACTACGAGGATACAAGGGAGTGGAAGTAACATAACATACTGTAAAGTCAGGTTTTAGCGAAAGGCAAAATTCTACCTCTACATACTTAGGTACGGATACTACATAGAACGGTGGAGGTATAACGCTAGAAAATCTCGACTGCAACGCGGGACATACACCATCTGTCAGTCATTTGGCAAAGCTGCAACCGGCCGGCAGAAATAAACAACGCCCTCCCCCCTCCTTCCCCCTCTCGAAGAAGAAAAAGAAAGATCAAAATAAAGGAGCATTGTAGAGGCAGGCAAGTCGGAGTTAACGTGACTCCTACGCCGAGGTCTGGACGGTGGTGGCTCAGGTAACCTCCGAAGAGGCCGTGTGCGATTGATTTCTTGTAACCGGTCAAGGTAGCCCGGACGACAGAATAACCCCGAACGGCATGTCTTATCCCGTTACTGTTGTCTAGGTGTAGAGTCATACCCTTTATACATACACGGGCAAGAGATCTCTCTCGCAATGCGACCGCCGGCCAAGCCAATCACGAGAGTAATTCTCCGAAGCGAGAGATGATTACATGTGATGCTCCTGCATCCACCCATCATCATCAGCTACACGGTACCTACCGTAGCTCCTCTAGCGAAGATGTAACGGAGTCTCCAGCAAAGGGGCAACGCGCAGGAACGACGCACAAATATTTTCCTCAATCGTTAGGGTACTATCCAATCGACACCTTATATATTGTCTCCTTGGTAAAAGAATTGGTAGACGTATTGGGACTGGGGATTTTTGTCTGGGCGTGTATTTTTATATTCCGGACACATAGTACGCATAACGGACCGTACGGGCTGGAGCCAGACTGGTTGCATCGGCAAAACGCATTGGCGATTTGCCATCAATGCCACGAAATACGGAGGCTACCAAACAGGTAACTGCAATGGTCAATGGAAGCGCTTGCATCTCCACATCGAGATTTCTTTTGTAGGTAGGTACATACGGAAATCGCCAAGATAAGCTGGCCGAATAGCCGGCGGTCGTGCCGGTGTATGTAGGTAGTAGGGTGACTACCACCTACCTACAGAGGAGGTAGTTGACACTCAGAAATGCGTAGTTATCCAGGTAAGGAATCCATTGAGACGCCAAACCGGCGTGGTACACAGTTCCGAGACAGTTTAACTGTCAAAGAAACCACCATCCCCCTTTGAATTTCAAGCATAACGAACGCTACCTCTACTATCAAAAAGACCGTGGAAAGAAAACCAATCATTTGCCTCTTCCAAGTAGCACTCCTGCATCTTTACTCCTCTTACTCCACCTACCTACCTAGGGAACGTCTCCTATGATCTTCTCCTATAACGAGACGTACATATTACGCTAGGAATACTCCATGTGGACGAAGATCAGACATGAGCGCACACGGGGATATGCACGGCATTCTGCCGGCTGGTTTGCCAGGATAGACCAGAAAGAGGAAACAAAAATCGCCGATACGACTGTTGATGGTGGTATGTAGTATCATCATGAAATATGGAAGCTTGTGATCAATACCAAGGGCGACTGTGTGTGGGCTGGGGTATGAGTGGTGGATCAGACAGCAGTGGTGGATAACGAACTTGAGAATGGTCACAAAAATGGGTATGAATCGGAGGGCTGTTAGATGGAGATAGAGCGGCGTACTTACCACATGGAGAGTTATTTCGTGTTGTGTGACTGATGAGGGCGAGCACTGCTACATGGAGTATCAATTGTGAGAAAAGATGGGGATGAATACGACAGACTGTCGGATTGGAGGCAAAGTTCCGTCAGACAAGGCAGGGACGCCGGAGTCGTTGCGTATAAAGTGAAAGAGGTTGGCTCACCATCTTCGAGCGTCCTGGTCGATGTCAGTCATCTAAGTGCTGGCTTTAAGTGTTGAGTGAAGACTCAACAGGAAAAAAGTTGCACGCTACTCTCTCCTTGTCCCTTTTAGGTCAAAAAGGGCTCCGGACTCTTTGTTCAATCTTTGCAACAAGCCCCAGGGCAACAAGACACCATGCCCGTCATAGACAAGCTCGCCGGTGTCACCGGGTTGTCAGGACTACATCTGCTTCTCGGTGCCGTTGGAGTCACTGTAAGAAATTATCTTTTCATCTCATCAATTAGCCCCAGTCAACATATGCCGCCTCCTCATCTTTCAACGTTCCATATCGATGAAGGAGGACCTTCACTAAGCGTTTAACTTTAAACCCAGATCCTGCTATACATCATCGGCTCCGCCATCTACAACATCTTCTTTCACCCTCTAGCCTCATACCCAGGTCCGCTCCTGCAGCGCGCCTCCCCCATCCCCTTCAGTATCCGCCATTGCCTCGGCGTACAAGCCTTCCACACGCAAACTCTCCACGACAAATACGGTCCTGTTGTGCGAATTGCACCCAATCACCTCTCCTTCACCGATGTGCGTGCCTGGCGCGACATCTTCGGCCACATCGCCGGCAGCCGTCATGGCCAGGAGGAGATGCCCAAGTTCAAGCCCTTCGTCCGCCCCATCGACGACCAACCCGTACACATCCTCAGCGCCGGGCGCGAAAAGCACGGGCAGCTGCGTCGGGCTTTGGCCAACAGCTTTTCGGACGCGTCGATGCGCGGACAAGGGCCGCTGATCGGAAAGTATATCGACTTGCTGGTTCACAAGCTTCATGAGCAAGGACAGGAGGGAAAGGTACCCCTGAATGCAACGTCGTGGTATAATAGCGTGACGTTTGATGTCGCCGGTGACCTGATCTTTGGTATGTCGTTCGGAGCGTTGGATCAGAATGGTAACCATTCGTGGTTGCAGTACATTCTGGGCAGCCTGAGCAGCTTAGCGCCGATGGCGGCGTTAAGTTACGCGGGACTGCACTGGGTCGTTCAGCTCCTCTGGAGGGCGAAGGGCGCGGAAGTGTTTAGGAAGAGTATGGAGAGCGTTGATCTGATGTTGAAAGAGAGGTTGAAGATGGCGGTGGATAGGAATGACCTCTTTGAGGGTTTGGTTCAACGCCAGGAGAAGCTGGTAGGTGCTCTTGTTTTCCGCTCCTTTCCCCCCTTTCTCTCTTTGCGAACCAAACAGCAGATGGCTAATGATGAGTTGTCAATCAGGGTCTCAGTTTCGAGGATCTTTCTTCAAATGCCTGGTTACTTGTGCTGTGCGTCTTCCCGAACTGTGGCTTCGTCTGACACAATCTACCTAATTCTAACATACGTCAACAGTGCCGGTGCAGATACAACAGCAACTACCCTCACGGGCACAACCTACCTCCTCACGCAGCACCCCGAAGTCCTCAAGAGAGTGACCCAGGAAGTGCGCTCTTCGTTCAAATCCGTTGAAGAGATTGATATCAGCTCCGTCAACAAACTCACATACATGCTTGCCGTGCTGAACGAGGCTATGCGTTTGTACCCCCCCGTCACATCGTTGACAGCTAGGATGGTGCCCCGGGGAGGGGCCCATGTTTTGGGAGAGTATTTACCTGAAGGAGTGAGTAACGACTGATCAACCCAACCACTTGCCGCTGAGAAGAGGAATACCGACTGATCTTTTGATACGCAGACAATCGTCGATGTCCAACAATGGTCCATGAACCACAGTAAGGAGAACTGGGTTGACCCTTGGGCTTTTAATCCCGCTCGTTTTCTCGACGATAAGGAGACAGCCAGGGAGAAGGGCAATCTACTCGACGCTTTGCAAACATTCAGCGTCGGTCCAAGGAACTGTATCGGCAGAAAGTAAGCACATGTTGTCTGCCCTGTCCTGTCAGATGTCGATGGCCCCTGTACTAACCACAGCTCTCACCTGAATAGTCTCGCCTATGCTGAAATGAGATGGATTCTTGCCCGTATCCTTTTCGATTTCGATCTGCGTGGGGCACCGACCAACCAAAACTGGATCGAACGGCAAAAGGCGTACGGTCTCTGGGACAGAATACCCCTTGATGTGTACTTTGAGCCTACGAGAGAGAGGAAGTGAGGGAGATACTTGGATACAGCAGGGTTGGCAAAGTTCGATCCATGGGGGTTGGTAGAGGTTTCACTTTCCAGCCACTTGGTGGAATGTAAGAAGTAACGAATGAGTCCAATGAGATTAGTTAAGACTGACTGAATTCTTTGAGCCTTTGCCACCACCTCATGAAGAACATGGTAACTTCTTTGGCTCTCATGATTTCCTTGCACTGCTACCCTACTCCCCACCCTTTTTCACGAATCCTATAGATCCGTTCACCCTTCTACTACCCGCTGCTATGTGCGCTTTCTCACGAAAACATCCGGATTATCCGCTCGGGATACCGATCTAAGCTTTCACAGAACGGCGAGATGGCTGAGCAGAGATGATTGGTAGGCCTTAGGCGGGAACGAAATGTCCCCAGAGTGACCAGACGAGGTCGTAATGGTACTTTGGGTTCCAATTCTCCGGGTCCCAACCGTGCCTTAGAAGTCTCTCGCGGATATGGGGTTGCTCGAGAGTCAAGCAAAGAGCGTACTTGGCCACAGACCGGCCGAGGTCCCAGGTCTGCCACAGTCGCCGATTGTTCCTGTCAGGCTCCTGGATGTCGGTATCGAGGAACACATCAAGACCTTCCATCCCTAGAAATTGTCGGATCGTGGTGTCCCAATTCTCAAAGTTGTGGTCCCTATCTCCATCCAGTGGCACCAGCGTTTGCGGCAATGTGACCCTTGCCAGCATAGCCAACCGGTGCAACGATTCCCGAGGGCGCATGCCACAGTACCTGTGCATTGCTGAAAGGCTATTTGCCACTTGGCAAGTGGTTGTATTTGGGACTTCTGGTTGGACTAAAAGAATGGAGAGACGACGAAGAGGAAAGAGCCCAAAACGCTTGTTTCTAGGTACGAGATGTTGCTTAAGAAAAGTTGCTGAGATTTACACCAGTCAGCTGTCGCGTCTGCGGAAGTGTGTGATGAGGAAGACGCCGGTTCTCGCTTGCCTAGATGTTTTGGAGAAAGAAGTAATGAAAGGATAGGCAGTGATTGGCAGTGTGTTCCAGGAACGGTAGGGCGACGCTGTTATTTAACTTGATAATGGACTTAGCAGCGCGATGGAAGGTTACAGATCGATCAGAAGTCGAAATCGACTGCTAAGGGCGGATACTTCAAGCGGCAATGCTCGTGGTGAGAGTGACTGTGTACGGTAGGATTGTCTCGAGTTTCCCCAAGGGGACTGAAATCGCGGATGCGGTGAGGGCGAGTGTAATGCTTTTTTTTTTGTGTGTGGATGGGGAAGAGCGCGAAAGGTGGGGTGGTGAGTTGACAATCGAGAAAGACGCGAGGGGAAAGTGCAGCTCGAGGCCGCTCAGCTCCTTCGCAACTTAAAGTTCTTAAACGCTTTGACCGCCCGGGACAATTGCAAGTACGGCCGACAACTCAAGATAGCCGTTGGGGAGAGAATCAGTAGAGGTAGGTACCTTCGACACCTGTTTGGATTAGGACAGTTGCTACTGTCATTCTACCGGGCACTTGCAGCTTCGTCCTCCTACGCGCCGGACATAATTTGGCAGCAAAGTTGCTCCAGAACAAGCCAGTTTTGAGAAAAACTGTTTCCCTAAATCTTGGGGGCACGCAAGTTCTTGAATCATGTAATTAGGCATGGTGATGGCCATTAGCTATCTACTATCTGTACTTTCGCTATCTCATCTAGGTCAGATTAATAATGACTGCATCCGAGCAAGAACACGGAAACTATGAGTTCGCAGTAAATACCGATATGGGGTTCAGTCCTGTCAAAACTTTCATCCCTTTCATTTGTCCTTATGGTCATTGGCAGTGTCCAATAGCTTTTTACAACCTTACAAAGTTGTTAGTGTCTTGTTCTTTCGCGGTTGATAATGTGCTCTGGAGTCCACGTTCATCTGTCCGGGACGAGGGTCAAATCTGCAGAGGCTGGCCACATTGGCGGGTAACGAGATAGATCGCGCTATGTATCATTAACTCATATACTCGTCAGGTCTTCGAAACTGACCGTCTGACTAGCGGGCAGCTGAGCGCAACGATATTTAAAGGGTTGCAGGAAAACGGAGATGGAAGCCAGGAGAAGGAAGGCTGAAAAGGAGAAGGGATTTGCCCTTGGACTGTAGCTCATTTCGTAAGGACGGAACACTCCATGTAGTTGTATTTGAGAGAGGGAGAGTGAAAAGTGTGAACTGATCTTTCAAAGTTTTCGTGGCCAGGGATTGAATTTGGATGAGTGTGAGGCAGTGTCTCCTTCGTTCTGAAGACGAAATTACGTTGGAACCTGGACAGTAAAATTCTGAAACTCGCCTGTCTACCTCCTTCCATGTCCGTCTCATTCCTTCCTCTTACACGTGAAGACACGATTTGCCATGACGTTGATGATATCGTGGGAAGAAGTGAATTAACGGCAAATCATTGTTGTTTTCGTGCTTTCTGCACCTAGGTCTTTACAAATGGAACATGCAAGCGACTTGTACGCTCATGAATATCAACGTACCTCTAGAATCTTAAGATCACACTACCATGACCAAATCCCTCACACGGAAAAAGGCGATATTTCCACACTGAAACGAGCATGCCATGGCCCCCAGAACTCCTTGTCTTCTTTCTTGTAGATGCCTACCCATGCAATTCCCATCAACCCATCCTTGCAGCAACCGAACAAATGCTAGAAAGAACCGCCGCCCAAGAACATAGGCAGAGACCGAAACAAGAGATCCTAACCCTCAATTTTCCTATTGTCCTCCTCCTTGTTGTCTTCCCCTGCGCACTCCTCCTCACCGTCTCCTTTGTCGTTGCCACTGACCAGGTGGTCATCGTTGTGCTTGCTCTCACGAAGCCTGTCCTTCATGCGGACAATCATATTCGAAGCTGAAAGTGCCTGATACTGAAGCATCAGAACGGTGAAAGGGGGTAGGACATTGTTCGCCTTGATGCCCTCGCGCTGAATGTCACCAGTGCCGGGAGTAGATAACAGCTGTGTGAGTTGGTGTTTGTTGAGGGTGGAGGAAGATGTGATAGCACTGATGGAACAGACAGGGTCGATAGCGGACATGGACGAGAGGAATAAGAAAGATGGGTGGAGGCGGGTGGTTGATAGTGATGAGGCATCGAGATGGGGAAGACGCGGAAGAAGGCCGTTTTGCGGGTGGAGAAGGCGGTCCCTTCTGGTCTTCGTATCAGGAATGATGTTGAATCTGTTTCTCTTCAGAGTGGTGGTGTTCTGGGCCGGCATCTTGGGTCTAATGTTCGGGGGTGCGGCCTTCATTCTCGCGGCCGTGGCAGCCCAATGAATGGGAAAAGAAGACATCGCGTGGAAGCTAATATAGGCCTGGACTTCTCCAAATCTTGGGCGGTTTAGCATGAAGCTTTGGCCGGTTGTCGTCTAGTGACGTGCTTTGGCTTATCTTTGGCGATGATTGTTGGTGGTGGTTGGAAGTCGGGGGAAGTAAGGACAAGGGAACCTATTTCCTATGAGCCTTCATTTATGGAGCGATGGAAGATGCGAAATAATAAACGAGGATTTAAGGCCGAAGAAGCATTTAAAATGTGCACCTTGCGGTTCACCGGGCTTCCAGCGCCGCATATATGCAATGCTTCCATTGATTCGATGTCCGTGGTTAACAAACTCGGCCTGGTCACTTGACAGACGAACAACATCTTTCAACCTTTATGAAACAACATTCACCATACCACATCTTTGGTCCCAACTCCTAACTCGAACGCCACGGCGCCTTGATGTTTCATATCCGGTGCAAATATTCATGGTGATGCCTCCAAAAGTTGACTGGCAAAGACGCCGCTCGCCTTCGGACAAAGAATAGCCGCGGTGTAAGGTAGCCGAAGCGCGTCTCAAGGGCGTCAGCGCTCCTGTGCGCATATCGACGTCGATATGTCCCATGATGACTTCCGTCCAGCAGCCCTATAGGTATTCATCCCAAGCCTCCAATGGACTGGCCAGGCGTAGATATCGGTTCAAGCCACATCTAAAGCTTCACCGGCCACACCAACCACTTCGTCAGGTCGACGGATTTCAATGGCGCTTGCCATGACAGGATATTTCCTATCGGAAGAAACGCAGAAGGTGATGTCCAGTGATACACGACCAATTCCCATAACACTGAAATGACGACAGTTGAAGATGCTGGTGAGCCGGAAAGTCGACAGTCGTGAATGGGCGGCAATACCAAGGCTCGCTCGGACACGGGAACTCCAAATGACTCGTTCGTCCCAAATGGGCCATAAGGCTGAGATATGAGCCTCAACGTAGACGCAAGCAATGGTGGCAGTGCTGATCTAGATAGTGGGTTATCGTCGTCATCCCCAATGGATGAAGCCAAGGTCCTCGGCCCTCGGAAACCGGGAGCTGGTATAGCATCCCCGTTGTAACATTGAATGATTCCTCGAGTGGAAGGAGGCAAAACGACATAGTAGTAGATAGTCCGTTTTCTGGGCCATAATCCCTCGAGTCTCAACGTGGCCCACTGTGATTCTGAGGGCTGCAAAGGGAACATCGGCAGAAAAAGCGATAAGATGCACGATAAGGCGGTCTCTACCGAAGGGAACAGGCCTGGCGGCGATCTGCACATGCAGATTTAGTGTACGGCACTTTCGCCCAATGACGTCTTTAGCTCAGCCATTGCGATGTTGCCTTCAACACGTCTGGCTGCTTTTTGCCAACGCAGTCTCGCAGATGGTTAGCGTCCCGGCCCCAATGTCCGTGAGTCCCCGTTCGTTTCGTTCGTCGAAGCTGTTGCTCCAACTCCATCATGAGCCCATCTTTGGGGAGTCAAAAGACGGGAACTACCTACAAGCACTGCTCGGAGACCGATGTGACAAGTTGAAAGTCTAGAACAAAATGGCCCACCCATGATGATTGTCTGATGTCCATTGTCCACATTGTTTCTTGGGACTCTGTGCCTTTCCACGGCTCACGGGTAGAGACGTCAGTCAGCTCCCGTGATGTCGGCCTTAGGCGGGCGCTATTGACTGCACAGACGACAGGTCGGGTGGGCCTTGTTGAACACACAGGACCAGCAAGAGGAGCGGAGTGTTAGCGCATACAGACAAAATAGCCGTGACTCTTAACATAAGCCGTCAGCGGCTTACAAGCGCTTTGCCTGCAGCGCGGGGCGCGGGCAGGCACCTCCAGGTCTCACATCCACCCACCAGTCCACCAACTGCATCGGTCGTTCCCGCTAGCCTTTTCTTCACAAAGTCCCCGGTCTAAAGTGCGGTGCCCTTCCATTCTTTCAATTCGACTAAGTTCTTGCCCGCGCGTTTCGAGCCAGTGTCTCTGTGACAACATTCAAAGACAACAATCCGGTGATTCTCTGACTTGGTCATCGTCTTGCATTTCGTACGGCCCCCGCTCGAAATTTCGCACATCAGAAGCCCCAGAGAGCGAACAGAAGCCGATACGAACAACAACGGCTGATTCAATCGACCCCTCCAAGAGAAGGCCGTCCGAAAACTATAACCACCCTCTAGACTAGTCTCTACTGTACATCCGAGACTTCAGCGACACCGATACCGTTTTGCGCGATACCAACGATCTAGGCTTCGATACCCGTTCACAGTTCTGCGGTCTTCCGAAAACCGACAATCACCATGCCAAGCTTCCGGCGGAAAATCACCAAACATTTTGGAGATTCAGTGAGCCACCCGCGTTCCGTTCCTTTTACAAGTTCCAGAGGTTCATGATTGTCAAGGCGATGGGAAGCAAGCTGGGTTTGGCGCCGGGGTTGGTGCTTGGTGCTACCTCGATCTGGAGTGACCGAGTAGCCGCCTTCGCCAGAGCGCCACGGAGACGACAGCTTCCAGTCACAATTTGCGGCCAGTTGCCGGTTAATACAATGAAGAGACTGTTGAGCTATTCGAATTGGCCGTCCTTGCCTGTAGGAAGCCGAATTGACGTCGCAGGATGACGAGGTCGCGGGACTAGGCACATCGCATCGCTATTTGTCCAAGAACACTTCTGCTAACACAGACGATCCGTTTAGCTCACACCTTCAAAACCGTACCTCTCCTACCATGACATTCTCCGTATGTGGATCGGTCTGGCATATGTCTGTTGACCTCGATCTGACTTGGGGGTGATTAGTGACGAGTGACGATATCGTCTCGCTCAAATATGACTGGCTTACTGATAACGTATGTCACAATTCACTGTTGTTGTCGCTTTGGTTGCTAACCTGGTTTAGAACATTGCCTTTTGGGAAGAGTATGTACACATTGCCAATACCTCTCTCCCCTTCTTTACTATACCGGGTCCCCCGATCTGACATGCGTACTCTAGATGGCTCGAGAGAGAGGTCCTTCCCAAGTACCCGCGCGCCCACATCGTTCTCCTACGACCTAGCATAACGTTTCTCCTGATGCAAGCCATTGATCTCAAAAGCATTGGCAGCGCGCTACCCGACTTCAAGAAAACGACGCACATTTTCCTGCCGGTCAACGACAGCCGGGACCGCGAGCGCGCCGACGGTGGTTCCCATTGGTCACTGCTCGTCGTGTCCGTCATCGACCGTGTTGCGTTCCACTACGACTCGCTCGGTGGTGCAAACTTTTACGAAGCCCAAAAGTGTACGGACCGTCTCGGCCGGGTACTCGGCATGCCCCTGCGGTTCCACCAGATGGAGGACTCCCCCCAACAGGGCAACAACAGCGACTGCGGCGTCTACGTCTGCATCGTGATGCGCCACCTTCTCATCAAGCGGTTGCTGAACGCCAACTCCAACGAAAAGGTGTCCATGTCCATGGCCAACAAGGTCATCGACAGCGCGGGCGGCCGCAAGGAGATGATGCAGATCATCGAGTCGTTACGGAAGGAGGGCGAGAGGCGACGAAGCTTGAGCCCCATGTCGACATCGTCGAAATCCGGATCGTCAAAGACACCGCCCCGCATTGAGTAGTAGTGCGAGTCAGCGAGTGTGCGATGCGAGTAAGCTAGCTGGCTGTTTGTTGTTGATTGTGTGCGTTGGACAGGTGATATCCCGCCTGTCTCAGAAGCAGGTTTCCATTCACACTGGCACAGAGAAACAAAAAGTTTTAGGATACCTTTGAACGAGAGAGCGCAACCCCATTGGAAGAAGGCTGGAGCAAGGAACGAATGCACCGTCAACGGGCCCCTTCTACTAGCAATCTTCCTGCATCACTGCGTGCAACGGGAGAAGTTTTCTTTTTTTTTTGGTCACAGCGTCGAGATGGACGACCACCCGCGCTGTAGGGGTCATCAGCACAAAGCGCGGCGTCAGACTGACGGAGAGGCGTTAATAGGCGTTAGGGTTCAAGCTACGAGCCATGAAGCACTCAACACCACACATAATCATTCCCAGGGGGAGAGAGGCATGATTGAAAAAAAAAAAAAAAAAAAAAAAAAAAAAAGAAACCAAGTAAATCATGATTCCGAAAGGATGAGCTCTCCCGTGGCTTGGTTGAGAGCCCGGGGTGCTATGACGCCCGAACTTTATAGGGAATATCTAGCATAGGACGGGAAATATTTGCATTATGGCATTGTAGCCTATTTTCAGGCGTATGTATATGGCTTAACAAACGTCGTCCTTCTTTTTTTTTTTCTTTTTTTCTTCTTCTCAGGGATCGCTGTACTTGAGGTACTCGTAATCATGGCTCTTTATGTCTCACATTCTTCCTTGGATCGCAATGTCGTCTCGCTCAAAGTGCATGGAACGAACAGGAGCAGACGAATGTATACTGTTTAGTCTACCTAGAAAATCGAAGCGAAAAAATGATACAGATTTGGTACATGTATGCCTCTCCAACGCCGCCAAATTCCCAACAACAAAGTGATCTCAAAATGACAAGGGGACATTGACGGACACGATCATGCCGTCTTGCCCAAGAAAGCAGGGTTCTGCTCCATAGTAGCAGAGATGAACCCCCTCAGCGCCGCCCACCTATTCGTCGTCGCCGGTTGTTGTGTCGTCACCTGTGCCCCCTGTGTCTGTGTCGGCTGCTGCTGCTGCTGTTGCTGCTCAACCTCCATCGCGGGCGCCGCCGCCGCCGGTTCCTTGACCGTCGCCAACTGCGCCAAACTCCTCCCAAACCGATCCATCTCCGTCTTAACCACCTTTTCCTTCCTCTTCAACGCCCCCGGCCGTGTCTTCAAGCTCTTATGCCTCACCCTCCCCATCGCTTCCTGCTGCGCATCCATCGTCTTGCCGCTCTCTTGGTCCTCCCTGATCTCGTTGCTGATTTCGCCCAACACATCGCCCAAGCTCTCCAGCGTCGTCACCAGCTTTTTCGAGGGACGCCTCCGCTTGAGTTTGCGAGAAGAGCCAGAGCCAGATGAACCGGGAACGGTCTTGGCGATCCGGGACACAAAGGCGTTGTGCTTGATGGTGCGCCTGTCCTTTTTCGAGTCGATGAAGGAGTCGGACACCACGTTGTTCTCGCGGTGGAGCTTGCGCGGGAGGAGGGGGTCGGCGAGGCGCTTCAGGGCTTTTTCGCGGGCCGAGAGGCGTTTGCCTGGGGTGGGGGCTGTTGGGGCCTGTGGTGGCGTGGTCACAAGGTGGGTTAGTCTACATTACTTACAGTAGTTGGTGTCGCCAGATAAGGAGGGAGGGGAGGAAATGGAGTTTGGGAGGTTGTCTTTCGTTGCGCAAGGGGGGCGCTGGGAAGAATGAATGAATGGAAGGTGGGATGGGTTGGGGACTTGGTTGCTTTGGTCGGTGGATTGTTGGGGAGAGTAGACGAACCATGGCTGTTTATGCTTATTCGAACTAACTGTTTGGTCTCGATGTACTGGTACGATGTGATGTAAGGAGGGCGAGTGCAAGTTGGTTTTAAGAGACGATGATGCAGATGCTGGCAGGGTTCAAGATGTGGACTGAATGGAGTTGAACGACGTGCCCGCGTACCTCGACTGACCACAATTGCTTCCCCAGGATTGAGTGATGGGCAGAATTGACTTTTGAGTGGAGCCGGGAATCGATAACGGAGGGACGTGAACGTGCCAATTCCTCACCGCCTACGCCTCCGCTACAGGGGGCCGAGCTGTGGGCCAAGAAGTTGAACTGGAGGGCTGCAGCAGTGGTCAGTGGGGTTGATTCAGCCCTACGATTTTATCATTTCGTTTCCCTTTTCCTCATTCAATTTCACATGATTGCATCTGGAAGAGATAGACAAGGGAATCAAGCCATATATCAAAGAGGCAGAAGCTCAATGCTAGGTTCATAAGTGCCGAAATTTGATCTCGCGATACCTGCCCCGCACTCGCTACCGACCTAGGTATCACTGACACGCTAAGGTAACTGGGGACTTTTATGTATGTATCGCACTCACAACGTTTCAAATCATCTTGCCCCAAACACAACAAGATGCAGAACGGCGGTGCCAGCTCAGATCAAAATGGCTCAATCAGCTCTGTGCCTCGGGACACGAGCCGGCCTCTCACAGAAGAAGAGCTCGATAGATACTCCCGTCAGATGATTGTACCTGGAATGGGAAAAGAAGGTGAGCACTTCGTCCCCAACGTTACTTTTCGGCCAACCGTTCGTTACCCCTGAACCAAAGTAAACAAACCATATCTGACTAACACCCCCACCCTATCTGTCCCCAGCTCAACTTCGTCTTATCAACGCCAAAGTCCTCATCATCGGCGCCGGCGGCCTCGGCTGCCCCGCCGCGCAATACATTGCCGGCGCCGGCATCGGCACCATCGGCATCGTTGACGGCGACACCGTCGAGCGTTCCAATCTGCACCGACAAGTCGGCCACTCCACCTCTCGCATCGGGCAGTCCAAAGCCTCGTCCCTCATCACCCACCTTCGCGGCCTCAACCCACTCCCCACCTACGTCGCTCACATCACTCACATCACCCCACTCAACGCCGCCGATCTGATCTCACAATACGACCTCATCCTCGACTGCACCGACAACCCCGCCACCCGCTACCTGATCTCCGACGTCTGCGTGCTCCTCTGCAAACCGCTCGTCTCCGCCGCCTCCGTGCAAACCTCGGGGCAAATCATTGTCCTCAACTGCCCGCCTACTCCGCAGGGTCAACTCGATGGTGGCCCCTACCCGCCTTGCTACCGGTGCTGCTTCAAGAAACCGCCACCGGCCAACGCCCAGCTCTCGTGCGGCGAAGCAGGCATCTTGGGTCCCGTGGTAGGACTGATGGGCGTGGCGCAGGCGGGGGAGGCCATCAAGATTCTGGCTTCTGCGCTTCACATTCCTACTACTACTACCTCTCCGCCAGCTCAAGGGGTGCCGCGGGCGCCCGTGCCCGTGCCCGTGGTGGAACCTACGTTGCTGCTGTACTCGTACTCGCTGACTTCTTTCCTGTCGCCCTTCACTTTCCGTGCTTTGAAGATGGCGCCGAGAAAGAAAAACTGCTTCGCTTGTGGCGAGGGAAGCAAGCAAAGGTTGACGCTGGAGGGGGTGAAGAATGGAGAGCCGAATTATGATTTTTTCTGTGGGTTGGGTGGTGGCGGGCCGGAAAAGGGGGTGTTGTCAGAGGAGGAGAGGATCACGCCTAGGGAGTTTGTGGAAAGTGTACAAGGAAAGGACGGCAATGGGAAAGGAAAGAAGTATGTGGTGCTGGATACGAGGGAGAAGGAACATTTCAGCTTTGGGAGCATCGAGGGGGCAGTTAATCTGCCGTTTGGTAAGTTATTGAGTAAGGCCGCACAGTTGAAGCGGAGTGGGGAGACACCCAAGGTAGGTGATATTCTACCGCCGGAATTAAAGGTCCACGACGGAGATGGAGACGAGGACATCCCCATATACGTGGTCTGTAGAAGAGGGCTGGACTCGCAGGAGGCGGTGGAAAAGTTGAAGGAGATGGGACTTGATAAAGGAGGGAGCAGGAAGATTGTGGATATTGCTGGGGGAATGAAGGCTTGGAAGGAGCAGGTTGACCCAAGTTTCCCGTATCTATAACCACAGTGTGTCCGGTCTTTGGAGGAGATAGAGTCTAGGATATAAGGTCTGCGGCGGCGAGTTCCTCCGCTGGTGACCAAGAGATACCAAATATATATTTACATATACATATTGAACACAAAATCTCCATGTCAGTCGGGGGAGACTAAGCACGGAAGAAAATGGTTCTTGAGTGACTTATACATAGCCAGTCGTCATGTCCCCGACGAATGCCCCTGCGGTATCTATCCTCGTACATCCCACGCGACCCGACATCAAGTCATCATGTCATTGCTCTTCATCCCTGGCTGCTTCCCAGGTGTTAAGCACAACGCAAATTTACTACTACCCGATCGATACGCTCAAACAAAGGTAGTGCGCTTCTTGTTGAAGGCCCTCTGGTCCTTGAGCCATTGTCTGTAGCCAGCAACGCTGGAGATCTTCTCGCCGTAGAAATCGGGAACTAGGTTCCATTCATGTTAGCCCAATTGGTTCGTACTTTTCCATTTTATATCCGCAGTCTTTCCCTTCTGCTTCATCCTGAGACAAATTGCAAAAAGGAAAAAAAAACAAAAGCACCTACCAGGGTTACCCATAGAGCTAGCGCTAGGATCAACACGGTGCTTCTTGATCCTCGCAAAGAACTGGCCCTCCTTGATCTCCATCTGACCTCTGTACTTGCTCTTCAGCGCGTTGAACACCATGCCGCCCATGGCAGGCCCCATCAGCCACCCCAGCGCACCGAAGCTGGCCGTCATCAGACCGACTGCAAACATGGGCTCGAGCGGCACCTGCGCTACCATGGCGTCGGCCACACCCGTGCTCAGAACCGCGCCTCCGGCCCCCGACGTGATCAGCGTCATGATCACACTAAAGGCCAGCTGCACCCTCCGCCTGGTCTTGCGCAGCTTGAAGAAGGTGTTCCAGTCCAGCACGGGCTCCCCGGCATGGGCGGCTGATTGCGCCGCGGCGGCGGCTTCGGCAGCGTTGGCGTCGAGCTCGGCATCGGAGCGCGGGCGAGTGCTGGAGGAGGAGGAAGAAGAAGAAGAAGAAGCCCTACGAAGCTGCTGCTGGGCCTGCTGGGCTTGTTGTTGGGCGCGGAAACGGAGGACGAGGGCAGAAGGTGACGTTGAGAGAGGGCGCACAGAGGTTGGTTGTGGAAGCTTGGTGTTCATGGAGAAGGGCGAGCAAGGGCAGGCGGTACTGCGGAGGAGCATGGGCTGGAGGGCGCCGGAGGACCGGCTGACGCCCGCGCGGAGCATCGTCGTTGCTGTTGAGCTAAGCATTGTGTATCTGATGTGTGTGTATCGACAGAAGAACCGATCGAGTCGTCGTCGTTAGGGTGAGAGTTGTCTCGATTTCGAAGCTTGGCGTAGAGTTGAGAGCTCAAGTCCCGGTTAGGTGAACAATGGATCGAAGTGCGTAATTTGGTGGGGTGGGGATGGACGAGGCACGGTCTTTCGACAAAGTTCGCTGTGATGCAAGTGCCAGTGGGCTGTTTTTAGCGGCTGTGAACTGCTGCAGCTACCTGTAGGTACGTACTGGGGCTTGCTGTGCAGCAGCTCCCGTCTGGGGTAGGTACCTCTAGGTACCTCTAGGTTGCCCATGGAACCGGCTGGTACCCCAGACAAAGATAAGATAAGGGCCATCGCCAAGGGAACTTCCCTTGTGAACTCCCGATTGATGTCTTGCGACAAGTTTGGTCAGGGGGGCGAGGACTGCGATGTAATTGTTGGTCTACTGCTCAACACCCAATGGTTTAGCACCTGTTGAAGATAACTCCAAGGTCGTGACTCCGGGCTGCAATATTACCTAGAAATGGCAAAAGAAATAATAAAAAAAAGTAAGTAAAAGAGTTGAACATCAGTAAACTCGTAGTAGAACGAATTCAAATAGTACTTTTACAATTATAGTTTTTAGTTATTTGATTATGAAATAAAGTTAGATATCTGCTTATTGCCTAGCTAGCTTATAAGATTAGTACAGCGTTCTTGGCACTACAGAAGTTAAATACGTATAGTATAATAACCCGACATAATCCGGCCTTGGCGCCCAGTTATTTAAACCTAACGATCGACGCGCTGGATTAGCAGCACCACGCCAACTTGACAATCAACGTGGAAGCAATCATCACCCGAAACACATCACGACATGGCGACTGACAAGCTTTGTCGAGGCGCACTTTGCAAGTAAACCGTCAGTGTCCCAATGGCGCATCTCGAGGAAATACCGGCGGTCATCTTCCTGCCCTCACGCGACAAGTCTCGCCTTCGGCCCCTTCCTCCACAGCTGCGCGGGCCAACCTCGCTGGGCGCGTCGCACACGCCCACTTGAACCTACCTCTAACCACCGCCTCCAAACCATTCAGTTCCACATACCATCTTCCTAAACTGCGCAATGGCCGGCAAGCCTGTCACCGGCCGTCCCAAGACGACTATCGAAATACCTCTCCCTTCTATCAAAAAGTACACCCGTGGCTCGGGTCCACCGCCGCCTCCCATTACTCTCGCGCCGCCTCGAGATTCGACCGCATACATCATCGACCAGTTTGTCCTGCCTGTGCTTAAGGACACGAAGCCAGACTCTCGACGGCGTATTTTTTACCATATTGGATTTACCGACATCCCGGCTGCTAGGCTTCTGGTCCCATGCAACGAAGTCCTTGATTACGTATCCCCGCGCGAGTTGGAGGAATGGGAGTACGATGCTCTCCAAATTAAGGAAACGGATAAGGCTGTGGAAGCTGAGCAAAGGCGCAAGAACCAGGAGCAAGCTCCCGCTAAGAAGAAGCCTGGTCGCCCTCCAAAGGCCCGCTTGAACGAGCCAGCGCTTGACGCACCCGCGGAGCCGGTCATATCGTTGCAAGAGGGGGACGTCCTGTTGGCCAAGCAGGAGGCTGTTGGCGGCCCCTCGTTAGCTACTCCACAAAAACGGAAGCGGGTCGAGATACCCAGGTATGATGATTCCGACGAAGCGGCGATCCATCTCCAACTACAGAACCAGTCACCCGTTCCCAGCGAGGTAGAGGATAGCGGCACGGACCTGGAGGGCTACGATTCCACTGATCCTCTGTCGGCCGATCTAGGTCCCAAGGTTACATCTTATTCGCGAGGTAATAGCTCAGGGTCGTCCGCGCAACAGCCTGTGGCCGGGCCATCCAAGCCAACAGCAACAAAGCCAAGTGTCTCGAGCAACATTGCCTCGCGTCCGTCATCGAGTGTCGTTTCCACCCCAGGAAGAATTCATCCAATGTTTGCCCGCAGCATTGAGGTAGGAAGCATCTCGGTCAGTGGACATGGCAGCCAGAAAGGGGCAGGCCAGAATGGGGTAGGTCCTTCGCGTGGCTTTGGAGGAATAAATGCGGAGGCCAATGCGCGAGCTTCTCCGTCTAGAGACAACAGCACACGTCAGTTCAAAGCGGTTCCTAAAGCAGCAGTACTTCCTTTTACGCACCCAACACAAATTACGCCGATTTCTTTCACGCCTCTTGCAGCTCCCATTGCAGTCTCTAGACCGATAGTCACTTCTGACTCTCTATCCAAGCAGATTGAATCTTCCAGCGCAAGGAAGCGTCGAAAAGACGAGCAACCGAAACCGGGCAGAAAGCGCAAGAAGTCCCACATTGAAGAGCCCACTGATTCCTGGGTAGTCAAGGAACTACTCGACGACCAATGGGTAACCGAACACGGCGTCAAGGTTCACAAGTACCTGGTCCTCTGGGAAGGCAACTGGCCCCCTGACCAGAACCCGACATGGGAACCTGAAGACAACATTGATGACCAGGGCCTCATCAAGACATACCTGAAAAAGAAGGAAAGCGGGATGCTAAAAGCCCCCAAGAAAACACAGCGGTCCATGCTGTCGTATCTCTCGCAGCCTCAGTACTCGAGCGTTGCTGAAGCATTCGAAGGCGATATCGACGAACTACAGCCAGAAGCTGCAGCTGTGACACCGGAAAGTGATTCGGATGACGGTGATGAGCTTTTGGTGACGGAAGAGCCTGTCGCCAAGACACAGAAGAATGGGAAAGGAGAGAGTAGCAGTTTTACCTCGTTCGACTCGAAGCTGGAGAAGTACCAGAAGACATTTTCAAGGTGATGAGGAAAATGCTCGGGCGCATGATTGGAGTGCTAATGGGCACGCACTTCCTTTTGCTGGAGAAGTTTGCTTGAAATATACTACGTTCTTGGGATGAACCTAATGGAGTACCCTATGGGCAGAGTGATGGCTCGCTGACATCGTTGTTTCGCGGCTATCGAACCCAGAGGATCGCAAGCCATGCCGCGATCTGATACTATGTCGCTATGTTCCTGTCCCGCCAGTTTTCATCCCACCAACTCCTGGTAGAATGGATAGAGGAGACTGTTTGGACGGTGATTCGGGTGGTATCAAAGAAGGTTGGATGCATGAAGCAATATGTTGGAGCTGGCGGGAGCGGCAATGGGCAAAATAGCTCGGTTGGCATAAAGAACCCACAGCGGAGGACGAGTACGGACAGCTAGAGTCGAGACCTTGGGGTGCCGGTATCTGTATTTTTATTGCACATAACACCAACCGCTACTAGCTTCAGCGAATCACAACATTACCATCAACTTTTCCGTGTTTTCCACCTATCCAGACGTGTCCGACGGGTGTGCTGTGTCTAGAGGTACCCTTGTTCTGGACACATGGAAATCATCATGATCTATCATGTTCAAGTTACGACAATACCTCTTTACAGCTTTCACCCTTTAGACATATATACCTCTATCCTCCATTATCGGCACCATCCACCTCCAATTCCATACATCCTCATTCTCATTCATCCCAGTGCTCATCACCATTATAGTCCTCCATGCCTACGTGTTCCCCCAAATCCGTCCAAACCTCGTAGCAATCAAGAAGCAGTGCGTCGACCCAGCAATGGCATAGACGTCGTCATATCCCTCTTGCAAGCGCCGTCTACCTTTCCACGGACTGGCCCCATGATTCCTACTTGCACCTTCCGCAGTAGGTACGGTACCTACGTAGGTACCTAACCTGAAGAACACACCTCCCCGAACAGGCTGGCGAGCTTCGTTCAGTTCTTGCCTGATTCCGACTCAAACTTTGTGCCATGTATGTACCTTAGAGATACCTAACTGTGCGGCCAAATGCAACAAGTCCTCTAAAGTCGATGGCCACTTGTATGTGCTCTAGCGAGCGGAAGAGCGCGTGTCAGTGTGCGTGATAGGACACCCTCCTCCGCCACCAGTCAGTCAGTCCTCGGACTCCAGTCTGCGACTCGGGCTCCTCAGCAAGCATGGTGCCTGCTATACTAGGTGATAGTTTTGTAACCTTTAGTTATCCATCAAGTCAAAGGGGGTTGTTGTCTGGTTGTTGGGTGTTGCTGGACGTGCTGGCTGTCGCCCTCTCTCTTCCCTTCATTGGAGCCACCACCACCACCACCACCACCACCACCAGTAATTTCCATCTTTGGCAGACGCTGATATTTGATCCCGGGCTTAATATAAACACAAAAGTGGAGAAGTGAGGAACGGGATTAGTAGCTGACGATGAGGAGGGGGAGAATGAGTGAGGTTGATGATCTGAGAGGAAAAAGAAGGGGGTTGGGGAGGAGAATTGAGATTGGGGTTGTCCTCGTTGGTGATAAGTGATTATTTCGTGTCATTGTTCTCATTCATGTGATTTATTGTCGGCCAACGCCCAACACCTAGAGATAGATAAGCACCCTGGTTCAGCTTTGGCACATGATGTGAACTCTGGCAATATGTCACTTGGGAGAATGTGGCACAATCAGATAATGAGCTTCTAAAAAGGACGTGTTGTTTGGCCAGATTTATCGAGGTTGTTGCAATTACTTTGTCCACCACATCGCAACGTCGTGACTTTGGGACTATTCCCTAACATATTTATATCACCCACTTGCCCATTCCTCGAACGCCAACGCAAGTCTGTCCATTAATCCTCCACTTTGTGTATTGCGCAGTACATGTCGGGGAAATCGTCGCGAAATAGGAACCATACAGCTCTACAGGTAGGTAGTTATTCGACGTGCCGTTGGATGTGAAGGTATATTTAGGAGGAAATTTGATGCCGTTCGGTTCAATAGTGATATTTTGTCAACCTGGTGAATGCCCAACATCTATCGCAGCTTCGCCTCCCCTTTAATTCAAACTTCCCCTGCAGGTTCTACGAGGATTTCCCCTAATCTTTACTCCACACCGAACACTTCCAGACTTATCGTCACTTTTACGCCCATGGTTTCATTACGTTGTATAGAGAATCGTCTTGATTCGTGGTGAAAGAATGCCTTTCGTCGAAGACACCAAGGCCAACGTCTCTGACAGTAGGGATATCGTCGAAGTGAAGAGAGAGGCTGAGTATCGCGTAGCTCAAGCCCAGCCCTGGACGGCGGGCCCCCAGATGCCGATTACCATATCGTAATGGTACGTTGGGCTCGGGTGGTTGTCCTGCCAGCCGTGCTCGTAAAGAGCCTCCCGAACGAGCCTATTGCCGAGAGTAAGATCGATGAGGCATAACACCCTGCCCCGCTCGACGTTCCAATTGTCGCGACAGGTGTCGCACTCGCGCTGCTCGGGACTCATTTCATCAAGCACCAAGTGGTGCAGAAGGGAAGCCGCTCTGAGATACTGGCGGAGGGCAGTATCCCACATCTCAAAGTTTTGGTGGCCATCTAGCTCCACCAGACCGAACGGGAGGTGATAGTAATTAATCACGTAAACGGGTTGATCGGGGGCAGCCATTGTCACTTCTGCCGCTTGGCTGATGCTTGCTTGCTTTGGTGAAGTAGTAAGGTTGGTGATGAGGTATCGAGAGAAGAACGAGGACGCTTGACCTCGGTGTTGATTGAAATTCTGTGAGGAAAATCTGATATTTGCGCGCGTTAGCTGGCTACTGTACTTACAGTAGGGGCATCGATGAGGGCATCGCTTGTTTGCTTAGTTAAACGAAAGCACGAGCAAGAGTGACAGATGAGTAGCCAGGGCAAGAGTTAAATAGGTAGAAAAGGCGAGTCCTGTCATGCTGGGTTGCTTACATTGCACTGGTAGATGCCGGCTTGTGGTCCAATCAATGATGGGTTCTGACCTTGAAGCTTTGAAGGGTGAAGGACGATGTGGGCTTATAGGTGTAGATCTGCGTTACTGAGGAGAAGACTCGATGTGTCTTTCTTGCAAAAGTCAGGTCTGGTCGTGAAGATAGTGTTGTTGTTTGTGCGAGAGGAAAAGCTTCGCGCGGCGGGGTATTTGACCTGAGTGTCTTCAATGGGAGAAGGGGGGAGGGGAGCAAAGCGGAGGGCAGGCAGAAGAGGGAGCGTACCTCGGGGCCCACCATTAAACTTTCAACCACTTTCATTTCCTATTCTCGGTATCTGTACTCTTCCAGTTGTGGCACTTGCTTACGATGTCACATACGTCAGGGAGATGGGGCTAAGGCTAGTTATTCATACTCTTGAACTTTCAGTCTCATATGTGGCTTTCTAGGTTGGAAACTACCAGTATATAGTGTCAAGACCAACGTGAATTGAAGGCCACCACTGGCACAATATTGTCCATATCAGACTAGGATTTCATCTCAGACACTTAGCTCCGGTCTTTCCACCGGCCTCCAGTTAACAGAAAATTTGCACATATGACATGACTACCCGAAAGTTGACACTTCCCCCAATGATACATGTATCTGTTCGTAAAAAAAAAAGGACAGAAAAATTCCTAGAGAACGGCCAATGTAACGAAACATGCGAGAAGGAACGGATCAGTCAACGTAATCACTATCTGAGTCATAGTGTGACGACACCTCGATGACCTCCTGAGAAATATCAGACAGTATCTCGCCAGCAGAAGCCTGCTTCTGCTGCTTCAAACCGAACATGGCGTTATCATCCTGCTTCATAGCTTGAAAGGCGGGTTCAGGTTCGTCCGAGACTCGTTGAGCATCAGACTGTCTGCTCGGAAAGCCTATCTCGTTGCGGAGATTCTCAATGAACTCATCTGCTTCCGCATCGATCATCTGGAGCTTCGTGGTCACGTCGACAGAATGTCCGATCTGTTCGTATAGCTGTGTCCTGAAAAGTTCCACAAGGTCGTCCTTCTTTGGGACTGGATCCTCTTCTTCGGTCGTCGCGCGTGAAGATTCTTCAACGTATTCTCTCAGGCGCTCATCACACAACCGATTCAACATATGCATTTTTTTGACAAGTTCAGGCTTACGGGCACTGGCCAGTATCTTCGAGATGTCAAATGACTGCAGTTGCTCCTGCAGGTGTCGGACGTCCTGCAAGGCTGTGTCGAACATGGAGTACAACCTTTTGGTTGCGGCTTCGTGGTTATCAACAGTGGTTTTCCTTTCAGTTTCATGACAAGTGTTCATAAGCTCAAGTAGCAGCACTGAATTCTCCAGGTAGTCCTTGATTATGTCGTCCACAACTTCTTCACTCGGCTTAAGTGCGCGACGTAGCATCTATAGAAATATCAAGGTCAGGACATCAAAGATCACCAAAGAGGCTCATGGGTGGTGGAACTCACCATTCCTATCTTGTGTAAGATCGCATATGTAGAGTTATCCTCTGTCTCTCTCCTCCAGACCTCTCCCGGGCTCGTTGCTCTGCTTTGCTCCAATGGCGTCGCAGCACTCCATTGACTTTGCGGGCGCTGAACTGGCGTTTCTTGGTATTCGTTTGTAAGATTGGCAGCATGCGGCAACGAGTAGGCGAATTCAGATTGCTGAGCGATTGTCTGGACAGGCAACTGATCGTGAGATGGCTGTTTGCGAAGTGTGGGAGCTGTGTTGCGATGCAAAACTTGGTCTTTGAACGTCTCCAAGCCATTGTGGAACATGTTCCTAGGCGACCTTGGTGCCGCTCCAGGTTCTTGTTCATCGTCATAAACAGGATCTTGATCCATGAACAAAGGAGAACTAGAGAGTTCAGAGTTAACGCCATGATGCTTTTGTCCACGAAATGTAGGTTGAAGTACGGGAACTGCCTCCTGCGCCTGTTCCAGGTCGAGAATCTGGTGTTGGGGTCCCCTCTGAGCCAACCTATCCCACACATGAGCGACATGTGAAGGCACAATGTCTTTGGGCGCTGGCGAAGAGACAGCATCTCTCGAAATACGTCTGGGTGGTTCATTGACCACGTCATGTACGAGGGCTGCTTGCTCGCGAGATGGCCTCTGCTCATATTGTGTGACCGCCATCAGATTGGCAGTTGTCTTAGCAAGGAACGCGTCTTCAGATGTCGGCTGGGAACTGAATTGCTGTATTGCCTGGTCTTGGTAGATGGGCTGCGTGTCGATCTTCTGAGTGCTCTCGTGAGGGGGCTGCAACATTTCCTCCAGCTGATTCGAAGTTTGGACTCCAGTGGTTGCCGAGTCTTGCTTTTCCACTCTGTTGTGATCGGAAAGCACCGACTCTTCCGGCTCATTGGGAGTCTGAAGCTTGTTACTTGCCGGGATGTGCTTCTCAGTTCTGTTATCATGGGGAAAGACTTCCTCCTCGGGCTCAGCTGGAGTTCGAATATTTCTGTTTGCTGGCCTGGGTCTTGCTGCCTCACTCTGTTTGGTAGTAGGTTCGCCCTGGGCTGAACTGGCTTGCTCAAGGCGTGGGACCTTGGAAGGCTTGGATGAAAACCCTGATGCTGCCTTGTATCGTGTATCCGAGCCACTCGTTTCCAAAGTCTCGGTCGCATGTGGTCGCGCCTTTCGCTTTCTAGGTATGGGGGGAATTGGGCCACTCTTCGATTTCTGGCTGTCCTTCTCGACTTCAGGCCTCGAAGGGGGAGGAGTCGTCTTCTGAAGCTTCTGGTGAGCATTGAGCTGAAAAATCCGAGGGGATCTCCGAAGAGCAAGCCCATCATGGGGGGACGTAGAGTCGGTGGACTTGTCAGGTTCGGTCGGCGAGGTTGAGCCAGCACCTTTGCTGGGCTTGGCCTTTGGCTTAGCTTGGGACTGACGGGTCTTTGTAGGTCTTCTGCGGGAAGAGACAGAGTTCCATGGCATGTCGGGGGCTAGATCGTCGGCGGAGAGAGGTGTTCTGTTCTGAGTTTGGGCAGTGGCAGTAGGCTGGGCCTTGTTTTCGGGCTGTGGTGGTGTCTCCGTACTCGGATTGGGATCATGCTTCTGAGTTGGCTCCCAGCTGTCGGGGAGCATATCCGCCAACGGATCCCTCTTCCTGGGACTCGATTCAATCATGATGGGTTTGGGAAGGGAACCAAGATAGGACAGTCCATTGACATCGGAAAACGCTGTGAGTCTTGAGGGGCTTCTAGCACGGCGTTGAGAGGAGAGGACTGTCCAGAAATCGCCTCCGTCAGCCCGTGTCAGGTCGGCAGTGCTCTCGTGGCTTGGAGGTAACCACTGCTCCATGGCGGAAGGACGATGACGAAGCGCGGAAGAACTGCCTGTTCTCGATTGCCAGGTTGATCAGATGCGTCAATTCGAAATATTGTGAGAATCTAACCCATTTGGATACGAGAACCGATGGACACTGGGACAACAGATTTGGTCAAAGACACATCATCGAAGATTGTGCGATGTGCGCATCGAGAGGGCAAAACAGCCTCTTGACCTACTCATTCCTTCGCGCCTTCCCATTCTTCTTGGAGGCATCCGGGAGCTCGACCACGAAGGAAGGAACGGCCGAGAGACATTTGTAACATTCTCAATCGAGGGAAAAGATAGTGACGCATCGACTGGAAATCTATACTTCTAACGCCATTCGAATCGTGTAGTCAACACCTCAGATCGACGATGTAGGTGGTGGCATCATGCTGGGCCGCGGAAGCCGTCTCACCCCTTGAACTACCAAGAGATGGTCAGGTGGCCCGAACGCAATCCGTGCAATCTTAACGGAAGCACCGCGCTTCGCAGCCCTCAACGTAATACCCTGATGATTTTACGGAACGAAACGCAACCGGGGAGCACTCGGACTTCAGATAGCCATGATTGCCGAGCGGAGGATGGTAGTCCAAGCGGGACGGAGTCTCGGGAATCATTGTCGCTACGTAGATTGCCCCGTTCCGATTCGGCATGGTGAATGAGGTGGTTATGTATTGTCCTCCCATAGTGCACATACCTACGCCATAAGGTTGCATTCGATAAGCTTCCACCAATCAGAACGATTAGTCAGCAGCGGTGCTTCCCGGATTGTAAATCCAATCCGACGGCAACATACGACCTTCCTTCAACCACAAACGAATCTGTCATCCCATCTTTTGGTGCCTTTGATCTTGGATCTTGTATACTTCAAGATCATCCAACGCCCATCTTTCGCCATTTTCATTGCAATCACGTCTTTGACGGCCTCCTTCTGATTGGTACATCTTTTCCATCCCTACTGATCTGTCACCACCTGCGCACGGGCGATATCCCGACCCAGGCCACCATGTACTCCCGGAAGGACTACAACGCGACGGAATGTGGCATGTACGCCAGAGATGATAAGGATACAACGTCCGCAACGCTCAAACATCTCGAATACCTTCCATCCTCTACCTCCACTGCGAAACCATCCGTATCCTTAATTCCACGGACCTCTCGCGCCCGCCTATCCCAACCAGACGTCTCACCCAGTCCCTTCCCCGATGAACCGATCCCAGTACCCGCTGTGGCGGATGTGGGCAAACTCCCATCATCCAGCACCGTCCTATACCTTGCCTATGGCTCCAACATGTGCGCCGAAACCTTCCTCGGCATGCGCAAGATCCGTCCCCTCAGCCAAGTAAACGTCTCGGCGCCTTCGATCCGTCTGACCTTCGACCTGCCCGGTATTCCTTACCTGGAGCCCTGCTTCGCCAACGTCGCTTTGCGGAAGCTGCCCAAGAAGCCACCAGTGATTCCTATCCCGCCTGTCGATCCGCCCCATCTTCCATCTCCGGGACCCCAACCACCGGCCCAGGGAAACCCGGGGGGGAAAAGTGCAGACTCGGATTGGAACATGGACACGGGCGGTCTTATCGGCGTAGTCTACGAAGTAACAGCAGAAGACTACGCCCGCATCATAGCGACCGAAGGCGGCGGAGCCAGCTACCACGAGATCTTGGTCCCCTGCATCGAACTGCCTGCGCCCGTTCGGATCCCCGAACATCCCCGCCCGGACTTGCCCAAACCTTTTCTGGCGCGGACGTTGTACGCTCCTCAGGTGCCTGATCTCCCCGACGATGGCAACGATCCTAAGCACCCCTATCCTAAGCCTCCCGGAGGCTTGGATTCTACTATTACCGGCGGAGACTCCGACCCCAAAGACCCCAAAGAACCACCAAACCTTCCCCCCAAATGGCGCCAGGCGTTATCTAAACTCCTTCTCCCCATACACCGCCCCCAAACTCCCCCAACTCAACCTTCCCTCCGCTACCTTACCCTCCTCCGCTCCGGCGCCATCGAGCACGAACTCCCGCCCGCTTATCAGTCCTACCTAAACAACCTCGAACCCTACACGGTCACCTCCACCCGGCAGCAACTTGGTCGGCTGATATTCATGGTCGTCTGGATGCCGCTTTTCTTCATTGTGTTGAAGTCTACGAAATGGGTTGCTGATGATAAGGGCAAGGTTCCGGGGTGGGTTGCGGGGATGATGAGCGTGATGATGCATTTCGTTTGGGGGAGCTATGATTTTGTATTCAAGCCGGTTTTTGGAGAGGGGGAGAGGACGGTTCATGAGGGTGATGGAAATGATGGTGATAACGGTAAGGGTGGAGAGGAGAAAAAGGGGTGGGTGAATGGCCGAAAGAGATCGGGGTCTTGGTTGAGTAGACGAAGAAGTGAGATGGTAGTTGATGATGAGGAGAAGAGGTGTTTGTTGGATAATCTTGTCGAGGATTCTGAATGAGAGATCCGGGAAAGGGTCTGGTTTGATTGCATGGTTTAAGGCTTAATTTTGGGGTCGTTGCACTCTGCACAGTTTACCTGGATACTATATCGACGTGGTATGTAATACAGGAAAAAAGGTTCCATTACGCCCTAAGCTAAAGACACCGTACACATACCAAATTAGGCTACACCATCCCGCGAGGAAGGATCTTCTCCTTGGATGTGTGAATGATTTTATGTTCCTCAATGGTATCCGACACGCTATTGGCACGCATAAAACCGACCCCGTATACATGATGAACTCAAATGCCGTTCCCCACACCTTGGAACAATGGAACTCCCCTGACAACAGGCTCGATGCACTTTAAAAAACCCAAAGTACCTAAACCGCCGTAAAACGCCCCATGATCGCAACCCGAACCGATATTTGCATCTCTTTTCCATGTCTCTTTTACTTGAAAAGCTTGGGAATCTCCTCCACCTTGATTTCCTGGTCGATGATGCGTTCAACAGCCATGAAGACGGGGTAACGCTCCTCGGCGCCCTTAGCACGGAGGAAGCTGCTGACCTCGCGGGTAGTGGAGATACCCTGCAGCTTCTGTCCGTTAAGCTCCGTCTTCTCAACCTCCTCAATGGGCAGGTTGCGCTCCACGGCCAACTTAGAGCACCTCCAGTTGCGGGCGGAAGTGCAGCTCACGATCATGTCACCCCAGCCGGCACTTTCCTCCCAGAAGGTCCTGGGTTCGATCTGGCCGGGGAAGAACTCGTTGGCGAAACGAATAATCTCCTGCATGCCACGGCGCATGACGGCGGTCTTAGCAGTCATGTTCCAGCCGTGTCCCTCGACATAGCCGCAAGCAATGGCGACAATGTTCTTGAGCGCACCAGCCAGCGAGACACCGACAATGTCTGACACCATGGAGACAGTGAAGTAGGGGCGGCTGAAGAGCAGCGACCACTCATCGTGATCCAGAGGAGGGTAGTCGAGCGGCAACGGCGTAAGTTGCTTGGTGTGATCGTTAGACTCGCCGTTGCCGACCGGCCTGCCGTTCTCGTCGCGCCTGTCAACCAAGGGGGTGTTGTAGGCAATGGTGGTCTCGCACCACTGCTCGTTGGCAATCTCGCTGGCAATGTTGGCACCGCTAAGGGCACCACAGTAGATGTTGAGAGCGTCGCTGACGTAGTTGCAAATAAGCTCGATCTTGTCGTCGGTGACGGAGACACCCTTGATGCAGCTGATGCCGCGAGCATAGGGCGCAATGTGGTCCTTGATCTGTCTGCAGATGTTGCCAATGAACTCATGGGGAAGATTGAAGATAAGGATGCTCGAGTCCTTGACGGCGTCTACCAGCGAAGGGTTGGCGACAAGGTTGTGGGGCAACGGGATGCCGGGGAGGTATTTGACGTTCTCATGATATGTGTTGAGGATGTGGGTGAGCTTCTGCGGTTGCTCGCCGATCGAGGCATCAAAGTGCTTGGAGTCCTTGGGGAGAGTGACGTTCTCCTCGTAAACCCACATCTGAACATCCTTCTCGAACGTATCGGGGTGCTCTGCGCAGTTCTCGGCAACGAGCTTGGCCACTGTGGTGCCCCAGTTACCGGAACCGATGACGGTAACCTTGTGTTTCTTGGTGAAGTTGTTGACAGTCATTTTGGTGACTTGAGAGTATCTGCGGACAGGGAGGTGTCGTGTGTTGTTCGGAGGAGGAGCAAGGGAGGCTCTGCTACTGCGGGTAGACCAGAGGGACGAAGCTGGCTCAAGAACGTCGGCACGGGTTGCGGTTTGGGGGCTTCGGGAAAGTTGTCGGTGAAAAGGAGAAGCTGGCTTCGAAATAGCGGCCGAAGACTGGACGTAAAACCGACGGCGGAGCGCTGGGTGGGTTGGCGGGGACGAGAACGATAGAGGTAGTTTTGGGCCTTGACCCTGTACAAGACAATGGAAGACGGAGGCGGCGTCTGAGCTCAAGATTCGGCTTCTGTAACGAGCCTGATGGAGAAGGGGTTGTCCGAAACGGGAACAGTTCATCTGATAAACGAAGGAAGGGAAAAAGAGGAGGGAAAAAAAAAAAAAAAAAAAACAGAAGGAAGGGCAGGAGCACGAGGGTCAACAGATCTGATATGTGTACCACAAGAGGCACAATGACGCAGGAGGAGCGCGGCAGCCGAAGGAAGTCATTCGCTACTGCTCAATGCCCTATCAGAATCTCAACAAAAAAATCGCTCCCGTAGCGCACTTGCCCACCCTCCGTTTCACGCGCATGCCCCGGCAGAATTGAAGACGGCAAGCTTGTGAAAGTTACCGGGGTCGTTGTGCAAGGCTTGGATGGCCTGGCTTGGGTTACAATTGCGAGAATGCCTGAGTCGTGCCCCTGCTTTCCGCATTTGATTTTCACTTCTGCCGAGCACCTCGGTCTACATACATACATCTCGGCCAGACCTGATGCTACATTATAAGGGGGAAAACAAAAAAAATCATCATCGACCAAAAACCAAACCTCGCTTCATGATAATGCGACATCGTCATCATGTACCGAGGCAAGTCATGTTCCAGTATCGTTGGCGACAACACACAAAAAGAGCCATACCGCCCCTTTGTTGCCAGAATACTTTCGAAATTTTGGGCGGGCACAATCCCGAACCGTTAAGGGCTCTGCGGGGAACATGGCGGGGTTGCGGAACCCCTTTTCGGTTGACACTGCGAATCCCGTCCTGTCACGGGAGTAAGAGAGGCGCTGAGGGATCCACAGAAAGCAAGTCTGGATTCTGCTAGAAAATCCGGGGCGCTTGGAATCTAATCTGGAGCTACATACATATCATGTTGGACTCCGACTGGAGTGTTGGTGTCTCAGTCTGGGGACCGAGAGGGGCCCGTCGGTCGCCGTGCGGACCTTGTCCCGGACAGCAGGCGGTTGGTGTCGAGGCTGGGTAGTCTTTTTTTTTTTTTTTTTTTCCTTCTTCTGTCCTCCTTTTTTTTTTTTGTTGTCTGGTATTTTTGGGAGAAAATGAGTTCTACACGCCCGGTCCCGTAAAGCTTGTTTAATGGAGTTACCATTTCCGGATGAGGACCGTGCTCGAGCAAACTTGAACCAAACTGGCGGGCTTGCCTCCCTTGCTCAGACATCATGCCATACGAGCGGTCCTGACAGTAACATTATCAGGGTCCAAGAGTTGATCACTTGAACCGTACAACCTGCTTGGCTTACACGTGAAGGAGAGCCCACGTGGCCCGATTGTGTTGCACTTTGATGAGAGTTTCCCATCCTGGAGGATTGTCGACATCGATCTGGCTGAGACCAGTCCCTTTGATCTACTCCCGAATAGCCACACCGTTTTCAGACTCAACGTGTATTCGGGCAAGCATTGATCTTCGACATTCGTTAGGCCTTGAACGATACAAATGCAGTAACATCTTGACTTGGGATCAGTCTGAAGTTAAAAACCCACCGTCTGATGTGATTAAGCTTCTCATCCCCCAATCATTAGAAGCCCCAAAGTTTCGCGGGCATATTGCTCTGGGCCACTTATGTACAAGGTCCTCACCAGTTCCCCCAGCCGGATTCGGATCTTAGCCCGGCAAAGCTCCGCCTGAATCCTATGTAGTATGTTGGGCTTCGGAAGCCGTACATTTACCGGGTCCCGAGTCCAAGAAACGGCCGTCGGATCACCTGCAGTCGGACAAGCAGGGAGAAGCGACAGAGTGCCGATCCGATCGGTCCACGACTGTCGTCCGATGGCGTCCCCTCCCGGATGCGGGAGTTGTGGTGGTCTGTGCGCCTACCACGACCATTTAAATGGTGATGTCATCGAGTTGGACAGGGATATGGAATCGACGCGGGGCAGCCCAATGCCACCCCTCGCTTCGTTCCTTTTTCTAAGACAGCGTTTGAATATCCCACTGCTTTGGGAGCTGTTGATCGTCAGGTATGGATGAAGTTTCTGCAGTCAGGCAAGTCTGGGGCCTGAAAAGTGATCCAAACCAACATCTAACTCTCTCAGCGGCCGAGGCTCTGGTGATAACATCCGTCAGGTCTTTCATAGGTAACTTCGTTCGTGTGCAGGTCGAGGAGAAGGCCCCTTCTCCAATCTAAAAGTCCAAGCCTCTACCGAGTACATCTAGCTCCCACTGGTGAATATCGTCATCCCGTTAGAGGCGGGAATAATCTGCCCCGCTTAGGTCTTTTTTGCGGTCAGCATCTCGTTATGCCCCTTGAACAGGCATGTCGAGGAAATTACTCTGCGGTTCCAGACAGCGGGGCATCGATCTGCGCTCGAAGCTCGTACACTAAACCGGCCGTTGGGCGCCATGGGCAATGTTCTGCTTGTCCGATCGGACCTGGAGCTCCCCGAGCGCCCTCGCGACTCGCAACTTGAATGGTTCTGGAACTGGCCAAGCACGTTGTGACGAGTCAAGGATCTTCAGGCACAGACTGCCAAACTGTCAAGGCGTGTTTAATCGCCGATGTTGAAACCGACGATAAGGCAAACCCTCAGATCTCTCACGGGAGGGAAGGCACGTTCAGGCCAGGACATGGAGAATTGACATAAAGGAAAGGGCACAACACCTTCGTTGCTTCACGAACTAATGCATCGTCCACTCACCACATCACAACTCCCATCGAGGTCTCGTCTCTTTTTCTTTCAAAGTCGCAGCTGCCCTGCAGCAGTCATATTCGCTGTCACTCCTGCACGCCCGTCTGCAATTGGACAAGTAATTGTTGGGTGTGGATCGAGCTCGCTCTTGGCGCCGTCTCGACGTGCTGCGCTCTCACGACCTCCATCAGCTTACTTCCTTGTCTCGTCTGTCACCACTTAAGTTGCCGTGGCAGGTCCGAGGTGGTGTTGAACACGGGCTGGGGTGGCATCGCCAATGTTAGGTTGTCTTTGCTGCTTTTTGCCTGTTTTCTGACGGGTCTCTTCAGCTCTAGACTGACATTCCGGTATATCAACCCCTGGCCAAGTCGTCGAGCTAGAAGCCAAACTTGGTTGTAAGCTCGCTCGCCAGCCAAGTTGCTACAGTCGAGCCCCAGTCTGGAAGCTATTGTCTGCTTCCGGTCCTATCACAGCCAAACTACACGGGCCCATACCTACGATACTACGATTTGGACCTCTCTTGGACGCCATCACCTACATTGCCTACATACATAATCTCCCTCTGGCTCCCTTGGCTTTCGTTGGAGCCACGTCGCTTGCAAAGCTCTCTCTGTCTCTTCTGCCGTCTACATATTTCGTGTCCAA